AAATTTTGCAGTTTGGTCATTGTTCTAGCTGGGCGGCGATATGGGTAGCGTCCAGTATTACATGGACAGCCATCCATGATTCTTCAAAAATGGCTTAGGATTTGGCATTGTTAGATCTGCTCCTAAACACTTAGCCATAGAAAAATTTGATGCAGATCCATCAAAATTTAAAGTTTTAACTTGAACTCCAGTTTGATTAACAAATCCAATACATAAATTAATAAAATTGGCTTTTTAAGTTACCCCTATGTCGTTAATGATGAGAAAATAGCCAACTGGTACTTTTCAATTTGAATTTATGTCGACAAGCATAAAAACAAGTGCTTGGGTGGCTTTTGGTAAGCTGTCGCAATTATCAGTATGTAAGTTCCATAATTTACATATCCTGATAACCTATTCCCTTTAAAACTAATGCCTTCCTTTATGTAAATTTCAACTCTTAATAGTGCACACACAAGATTTTTTCCTTTACTTTCTATTTCCTTTTGTTTTATTTCTACAGCTTTTAACGATTCTGTGGTAAGACTGGGTGTGCCATCAATTGATGAATACCATTTTCGAAGGATACTTGGGGCGGGTAATTATTAAAATATGTACTATAATATATTTAAATTAAAACACAAGAAGAATAGATAATAATATATAAATATACCAACAATTAATTAAATTTATTTTAAACAAAATATGTTTAATACTAATTGGCACAGAATATTTGTTTAATAGGTTTTAATAGTCAAGTAAAGCCTAAAAATGTTTAAAACATAATTTTTTGTAACAAACGTAAAACTTTATCAAGCGTAACACATATATTTACATTTATATTAATAATTCTTACATTTTATAATAAAGAAAAAAGACAACAGACCACCCCATACTGCAATAATATAATTATGGTATGTCTCCAAAAATTTAATAAACCATGCATATATGTGTTGTGCTCTATGCTTTCTTCATTAGAGCATTATAACATAGATGGAATAAGAGCTGAGTGCCCAAATTCAAAATTTGCACTGAGTCAACTTGGTTCCACGATATTACAAATATTGTCTACATTGCTAGTGTCTTCATCATTTGTGATGTTGGCCGGTGAATCAACGGTTGACATATTTTTAAGATAGAAGTTGTTTGTATTTCATTATTTAAATGCTTTATAGTATTACATTTTATGGATTGTAAATAATTAATTGAGTCATCAATAAAATTAAATACCTCAATTTCATTTTGTTTGCAAAGTGATTTTTTTAACTGCGTTTTACTCAAAAAATTTCTTGCATTTAAAAAAACAAAGATATTATTAATCCTTTTACAAAATATAATGGTTGCATCATATTTTTCAAAAGACTTTAATTTTAAACGTACAGAACAATACTGTTCATGCACGTGGAAAAGCTCATCGACGAAGAAATGTCTAAAGTCTGAGCTAGCCTGTTCGTGGCGAATGGCGTTAAAAAGGAACCGCTCGTTTTGCCGGAACCGGACGGCGCTCCTAGTTAACGCGTTATACCTATATCAAATAAAAACTCCAGACAAAACAAAACACATTATAATAAAACCAAAATAATCCACCGACAACACTGTATTTTCGAAAAATACACACACACGAGCTTAATATTATATATATAATATATACCTTAACACATATTATATACATGGATGACGGGTTATTGAAAACCTATTGCAAAAACACCCGAAATGTATTGATCACAGTTATCTACGGTAGATCACCGTGGTATTGATGAAAAAAAAAGTGAAGCTTATGTGGTGACAACGTCATAACAATAATTTTCTCAGAAACAAACTACAATCTGTTAAAAATGTCTGTTTGTTCTACGAGGATAGTTACCTGTTTTTTTTTATACACTTGTTTATAAGAAAATCCCAATTGCTATTTGGATTATCATTAGTGCTTTACATCAACCCACGAGCGAACGTTGTAAATTTTTTTTTTTTTAATTTTGTATTATTATTTATTTATATAAGAACAAACTCCCGGATTCTCCGATAATTGTACATAACACATTTGGGTTGCAATTTTAGGGGAAAAATTTACGTTAAATTTTAACAATTTTTTTTTTTAATAACATTTTTTTTTATTATTATGTATATATATATATATATATATATATATATATATAAGACGTTCCTTTAAGCTTTTAGCTTTTAAAATAAATAGACAAATTGTGTTGATCTGTAATTAAATTATTTATTAACATGAATATCATGACATGATTATTTTATTTCCACGTTCACAAGGTAAATGAGCAGGTGAAAGGATAAACGCTATTGATTTGTTGTGTGATAGAAGGTGACAACGTTCGTTTTGCAACGATTCCGATAGCTTTAGAGCCAAGTAGTACTCTTACCAACGTTGCGTTGATGACATTCCATTGATAGAAGTATACCAATTTTTGTATACTATAGATGTGAAATAATTAATTGTCAGATCTAACAAAGAAAGTGACATACTATTTTATACGTACTGTATTTACTAAAACATAAAGACCGAATAAACCTATAAAATCAACCTATTAGGTATGATAATTGACCTAGGAAATTGTTCGTCAATATTTTGGCGATAAGAGGTTTTATAGCTTAACTATCTTCATTTGTAATATATTATGAACATTTGCTGATTTCGGCCTAGGATTGAATTACTGCTTGTTTTTTCGTTTTAGTTATTTATTTATGATTCTAATTTCGATTTGACAACTGCTATTATAATATAATAGTAAAAACCGTGAAGTGTTTTCATGTCCGATTGAACCCGTTTTTTACCGAATCTGCACTTGCTAACACTCGCACGGCTTCTTGCGTTTTCTACACCTTTGTCTGGAAGTGCAAGAGGTCATTTCGAACAACGTTACCAACGTTTTCTTCACGCCTTCCATCACATCTAAGCACGGTACGGGCGTTTCAGCGCACTTGTCCGACATTCTCAAAGCCCAACATCTGTACCTGAGCGGATCCGCCCTGCAGTTACAACCTTCGGCGCCCGACGCTACCTCTGGAGGGAGTTCGCTGACGGACGTTGTCGCTTCGGGTGCAGAGGAGTCGCCAGCCGAAACTGGCCTCATCGACGGTGGGGCCGACCCTGCTCTGCTAAATAATACGTTTTGCGGACGTTGAGGATGCATGTATGACGAGTGTGTTGTATACAGTTGAAAAATATACAATGAAAGATCAGGTTTCACGGGCAAACGCCAAACTAATTCACACTACTTCGCAGACGATCAATTATATGCGTTTATTTGTTGGTCTGTCGATATTATTGTTTGAAACGAGTATACAAAACGACGTTGCTATAGAAACTTTAGAATTACCTCGGAGAATATAAAGTATATAAATATTTCTTTCATATTGAGTAGAGAAACATGATTGACAAACCCGTCATCTTTGTTATATTTTTAACATGGATATGTTTTTGGGCTGGAAGTCTATCTGGAATTTTCAATTTCAATTAACATCGTTAATTTTCAAAGCGACATCGTGGGATAGGTTGAGGTGGAGAAGGTAAATAGAGAGACAGGGAGGGGCTAATTAATACTATCGTACTATTTCTAACATGTGTGTTTATTAAGTACAACTAATGTATCCAAACATACGTAGTAGTATATTAATGAGGTGAAAACTTCCAACATTTCTTATCTAACATTTTCATTTCATGTTCTTGTTTTTTTTTAGAACTATAAAATTAAAAAGGTTCATTTAAATTATTTAATTTAATGTATGTTTCTATTTGAATTTCTTTTAACTTTACTATAAGCATAAAACTATTTGGATGAGTTGTATAAAAGCTAGAATTAAAGTGGGAATGGAAAGACTTGCATGCATTGGCGGTTAAAGTTGACTCTTCTGAAGCTTGAGCTCATATTTCAGGTGGATACTGAGCTCTTCAATTATATATACATCTACTAAATAATCCGCAAATCGTGTCATTCTTTCATCGTCGGGCTTATATTTCATTAAATAAATTACAAAATACTCAGATAAACTTTCTGGGCTTAAAAATGGTATACCGTAGCATGAACTAACACCCTTCTAATATCACTGTTCTTATTTGTATAGTCAATACTCAAGCCATTATGTTGGATATTTCTATTTCACGATTGCGTTAGATGAAAGCGACATCCGTGTATCTTTAGTTTATCTGGGGACAAACAGCATGGACATTGGTAATTTATGCAATTTGGTAAAAGTGGTAGCAACCTTAAAATATTAATATTTCTGTGATTTTATTGATTCGGGCGCTGTTTGCATTTCATACCGATGATAATAAGCTGGGCGCAGTTTACATATACCCTTTTTGAACCAAATTATAATCGGGGCACAGTTTACCTAAAACAAGGTAATTGGGGCGCAGTTTACGTATTTGAAAATATTTAAGACGGCTAAAAGAAAATCCATTGTCATAGTTACCACTATTGGCGGGGGAAAATGCGTTTTGTAATATCTTTGCAGGTAACATATACCTATTTTACAGTTTAAAAATGTAAATAACTTTTCTATGAAAAAATAATTGCTTATAAAAAGTAGAGATAGCCGATTCGTGCACCAGACCTTTCAATCACAGAATAGATAAAAGCAAAAGAGTCTCACTCAATGTAAGCCCAAAAGTGACGACCATTTTGTAAAGACCTATTTAGTATTATGTGTTATATCTATACACAACTAAAAATAACATTATATAGGTAAAACATTATAGTGATGTAGACTTAAGAAGATGGTCGCCGCGTTTTTAAAATCATTTTTAAATATTCGATAATAAAATTATGGTTATTTACATAACATTTGTGTTGCTACGCTGCATTTCAAAATGTTGAGTGCATGTTATGTAGTATATTTGAATATTTGATAGATTTGTTTTTAAAATATAATAATCCGATGATAATATTCCTGCAAGGAAACTTTGTAAGCTAATTGTGGCCTGGGTTATGCACCGTCTTCAACGACATAATTTTATAATGATAAAATCATTAGACGATTAATTTGAAAATCGACTTATGGATTCGGCGACTATACTGTTTTGGGTAATTTTTTTTGAAAGCTATGGCGAATTCAAATGGGCCGAAGTAGAAAGCTCAAAAATCGTCAAATCTAATCTGTCAGTAAGTCTTATAGTATAATGGGTCATCATTTTAAGTCGGCGAATTAAATGCATAAGCTAAACTTAAATAAAGAAAATTAGGTTTCTACATATTCCAGTGCCTCCTAGCTGTTCATACATAAAATATAATTATCTATGACATCAGTAATTCTTTTTTCTTTGTTATTTTTCTTATTTTAAAGTTAAATTATATTATAAAATATACATGTTTTTTTTATTGATCTGCTCATAAGTATATTGTTTTATAATTTTACATCATCCTCTCTCTCTTTTATTTTATCGTGACGGGTTTAGACTCCTTTTTCCAGTCTCTAGTCGTTTTTTCCATTCCGTTCGATTTTCTACTGTCATTGTGATCTGCCGGTATCAATGTAAGAAGCATGTTTTTTTATTTAAGTTTTCTCATAAAGAATTTTGAAGATACATCAAGTGCTTATTTTCGCTTTGACACTTGGTTTTTTATACATTTGCATTCGATGTTTGCGTATACACAGAGACATAATTTCATTCTCTCCTCCTCCTCAACATCCATCTTATTTTCCGATTTTTCGCGCTGGGGGGTTTATCTAGAATTAGCGTCATCAAATGAAAAACGACACCGGGAAAATGAAGGGCAGGAAAAGAGAAGGACATTTGTGGCTCATTTTTACCATTATACCCCATTATCTCACAAGAAATTTATGCTTAAATACTTAATTTAATTTGACTTAACGTATCTGTTATAAATTTAAGAGGAAGTTAATGGTTACAACACCATTAATTGTTTACAAAAAAATTAAAATTAAATGATTTCTTAAAACGAATAAATTTAGTAATCCTAAGACTACAGAAAATTACTATTAAATTCCTACTAAGTAATAATAGAGTTTATGTTATAGCATATACATTTTATTAATTTAATGTGGCAAACGTTGTTTTAAGGTGATCGGTTCAAATCAAGAATACTGTTGTAACCTGCCGTTGGAGGTCAAGTACGGAGACAAGCTGTTCAAAGGTAAGACATCTGATGTGACGGAGTTCTTGGGATATAAAAACGTTGACCAAATAAAACTTCCCGTGGTGTTTGACGCAAGAGAAAAATGGCCCCATTGTTATTCGATTGCTCGTGCTAAGAATCAAGGAGAATGTAAAAGCGGCTGGGCAAGTATACAATACAATTTCAATAGTATTGTTTAAATTATCGTAAACTAACGGCGCGATGAAAACGTTTAAAATCCTTCAATAGCGTAATTACGGATTTTAAACTGTCAATTAAAAGAAACAAATAAAAGAATACAACAAAACTTTTTGAGCTGTATTACGGAGGGAAGGTGGGGTATTGGTTGACGCCAAGCCCATAGAGTTCATTTTGCGGGTAGACTAAAACTATCGAGTGGGAAGCACAAATACACCCGGTTACGATAAACGCTGCGCACAGACTGTATCAATATTAAAAAATATAATATTATTAAATATTTTATAACAACATTTGATATTTTAACCTGTCATAATTAATTGTTTGTATCTCCTACCCCTACATTAACATTTCTAATTAGGCAACTGAAATTCTATTGCATACATTACTACGTCAACCTGACCTATCTTATTATGTATTTTTCTTTGAAATTGTAACAATTATTCGTTAAAAATTTGTTTTTTAGTTTGTAGTTACATAGAAAAAGAATAGTTTAATTTAAATTATAAGCATTATAATATTTACTTATTTAGCTAATTCAGTTGAATTTTAGCTTCGATGCGGTGCTGAGAAGGTATTGTTTTTGAAATGATATGTTGTCATTTTTTATTTTATGTTTTTATTTTTGTGCCTGGACCCACGATATCTCGTAAACCGCTAAACCGATTTCTTCGTGTTGCAACTTTATAGATCAGAAATCATACCTGGAAGGTACTTTATCGGGCCAAAAATTTAAAAAAGTCACCCCTTCCCCATCAAAATCGAGAAAAACACCTAAAAAATGTACAAATTTTTCAACTTAAAATTACGATGCTCTATAACTTTTTAAAAATAGTCGAAAGAGTTTCAAATTTATATGAATTATTCTTCAAACAAAGTACTATCGATAAACATTAACAAAACAAAAAAATATCATTAACCCCTTTCCCTAGAAGGGATAGAATTTTTTCTCTTGCATTCGCTTAGTTCTTAGGTATAGATTTTACATTTTATCTTGAGGAGACTACATAATGTTTCCTATAAGTATTAAGTATTATCAATGTTTAAATATTTTATTTTGAACGGCTTGACTTAGCGTCCGAGTCAGCAGACTGATAACATTTAATTTTCAATGTGATTTTTTTAACCAGGCCATAGCCGTGGCTTCAGTCATCACTGACCGATTGTGTATTCAAAGTGGACGTCAGGTAGACGATTTGTCCGCGTATCATTTGTTGGCATGTTGCGATAACTGTTGTGGCTGTAAAGGGGGACATATACTAAATGCGTGGGAGTATGTGAAGGCCGACGGTCTACCAACTGGAGGAGCATACCAAACGAACAATGTGAGTTCTATATTTACTTCATGTGTGCTGGATTAAAGCTGATAATTCTGCAACTATTTTTCTTCCATAAATTTCTTAGTTGCTACGATTTACCTTTCTAACAATTCTCATCAGTGTTCAAAAATTTCATGAAATATAAAATTTTGAAATATTTCAATTTTTATTATAATTTTTGTTTTGTAAAATAATTGAATAAAACAAATTAAATATCTCACTGAAAAAAAAATGTGTTCTCATTTAAAATTTTTAATTTATAATGTTATGTCGTATAAGATTTATATTTAGCAATATCGAAAATATTTCTTTTGATATATTTTTTTTTCTTACAACCAGTCAACATTTTTTGACGAGTGGCATTTTTTACTGTATTCCATTTGCTATAATTTCACACTTTCTTTATTACAGTTTTATTATTTTTTTGACTTCTAAATTCCGAAACACTATAACTTTTAATTTCAAGAAAAAAATCAGTGTACTTATATTACACTTAATTGAACGTAAAAGTTAAATAATTGTAATGTGTCATAGTGATTGCACTTTGAAAACGATAATAATGTTATGTAATTATCTTCTAAATTGACGGGATGCCTTTATAAGGCAGTAGGGCCAAATCGTTAAATAATTAATAAAAATCCAATATTTCATAAAATGGTAAAATATTTCAGATTTAAAACACTAATTCTCTCTTATTAAAACTACACTATCTCCGAGCAATTGCGTCATTTAACGTTAAAGGCTGAAATATGTAAAATAAACTGATTAATGTAGTTACCTGTAAAATACAAAGAGTGCTTAATTAATGCATGGTTGATTGTATAGACTTGTCAACCGTATTTAATTGCCCCATGTTATGGACCAAAACGTCTGTTTAATTATTGCGGATGGCGAAGCGATCTTGTGCCAGACTGTTGGTCAAATAAATGCAAGAGTGGATACAACCATATTGAACATACTTTTGGGATTACTTATAAAAGTATGTGCATATTTCACCGATAATATAATAACCAATTTAACAGAAATTATCTGTTTTCAAATGCGCAGTATTGGATTACGAGCTACTGTCGCGCAAGAATCACTTTGCAATTATGAGGGAAGTGTTCATAAATGGACCAATACAAGTGTCTATGCACTTTTTTGATGATTTGAGATGGCACACTGGTGGTAAACTAAATACAATTTGCAATAAAAATAATATGACATTTTTTCTTGTATGTACCTTCAAAAATTAACAGGTATATCATTTGAAATCGTATTTGATTTGGTAAGTCACAGGTTTACTATATTCCCTTACTGGATTTTCTTGTTGTCTATCGCCTTCAGATGGGCAGCTATCTATTCCAGCAATGGCGCCAATTACGAGATTGCAAGTCGTAGTTTATCCAGCATCGACCCAGCCAAAGACAGTCTTTTAGAACACCAATGATTTCTTTGTTAGTTGACCATAGCAATTTATGGAACAGTTCGTTTCGCCATTCGTTACAAAGTGCGATGACGTAGGCTGGCAAATCCCCTGCAATATTCTTTAATGGCGTGATTGAATAGAGCATGAAGTGGATTATCGACCTTGGTGATAGTTAAGTGTACTAGAAGTGTGTCTCCCAATGGCGCACCGGTGGCTATTCCCAACATCCAAAGTGATCTAAGATGACTAGTGAAGCTGTTGACAAGTTATCGGAGCTCAATTGCTATGTTGCTGCTCTCGTGTAATCTCAGTTGAATACCATCACGAACATAAGCTAGCAGATTTTCTAAAAATTCATTGATTTATCGAAGACCATCATACTGCGCGAAGTAGAATAATTTGTCAAGACCAGCGCAAAATTATTCTTTTTTAGCGATGTTTGATTTTTTACCAGCATTTAGTCTGTTTGAGTTGGTTAGGAAGCCCTTCTCCAAAAAATGATAACTTGCTCTATTACCTATTTAGTATCAATTCGTTTATTTGCTCGAGGATTTATACAATCACTGTTATAGAATAATACCTCGAGCCCTTGTCATTGAGAAGGAAAATTGATCTCCTTTAATTAAAGGTTCAATTTCCCGAACTAAAAACTTGATTTTGTTTTGTTTTTTTGTTCCTGAACTTGAAGCCATATTTTGTAAAACTAATTTGTTCTGTTAAATGAAATATCTTTGTAAGGACATTATTTATTTATTTAAGAAAAAAACGGGACGATCCCAACTACACGATATTTTTACACTTAGTTATTTGAAAACAATGGCACATTAATATTACATACTACAGATAACAAATACATTAAAAATAATTAACTACTGAAACCACTTAGGGGTGACGGGTCCTTAATAGACAGTCTTGCCATTTTTACAATATAACGATTGGACATACTACTTATAGAGACACAGAATAGAAAATTATTACAGAAAAACTTACGCTGCACTCTTTCAATCTAACGACTACAATCAAGCGTGTAAGAGTCCGAAATTATTATCTTATGAGATCAGACAAATGAACAATTGAGGACTAGAAAATTTGAATTTTACAGATTCACTTAACAATTCCAAGCAATTTTAATGCCTTGTACGTAGTTCTCTCTCAATGTGAGTCAGACAACACTATGGTATGAGAATAATTTAGAATGGGATTTTACAATACAATGTGGTGACATAACGATACAGTACACCATTTGAAGTTATGTTGTTATGATAAAATAGTCTAAAATTAATTAGCACAAGCTAGAATATTTACTCCAGAATCTATTGACAACAGTTTTTAAACATACAAGTCTAGTTTTAATTAGCAGACCGAATAATTTTTTTTAAAAATATTAAGTCAATGTCATGTTGCCGTTTTCGCGTTACACGGTTTTTTTTTCATTTGCAGGTATTTATAGACATGTGTCGGGTCATTTGGAAGGCGAACATGCTGTGAAATTGATTGGATGGGGTCAAGAAGGAGAAGACAAATATTGGCTACTAATGAACTCGTTTGGTAGAACATGGTGTGATAATGGCACGTTTAAAATGCCCAAAGATCTTAGCGATAGGAGTATGTTTGGATACGCCATAGTAGCACCAAAATTAAGCGCGACAAAATATTTTAACTCGGACACGATCCTTACTAATAACTATTTATTTCATATTCTATTCTGTTTGATTCATTTTTTTATTATATAAGTCTCATTGTCAATTTTAAGAAATACATGACTGCACAGATTTTACACTATCAGTTCTCTAATTCGCGTTTATTTGTCTACTCTAGTTTTTATGTATAAACTTAAATTAACCTAACCTAACCTTACCCCGCAAGGTCTATTACAAATAATTGTTCCATTGCACCGCTAGAGACAGTGGCGCGGGGCTCGTTTTGATTTGACACAAGAGTGCGATAAAAAATTAGAAAACCATAACCCAAAATGATAAGTAATCTATTTATTTCAGGAAAATACATATGCATATGAAATATATAAAAAAATAATAGTAACATTACAAAAGTTGTCTTTTATTTGTAGCATTCATATTAAAATATTATAATATCATATTAAAATAGTACTTAATATTTAATAATATTATTACGTTAATAATACATTAATTAATTATAATTAAAATTAAATAGTCAACGTTTTCCTTCGTGTCCGTACCTGAACCTACTTTCTGATAAAATAAAGATAACGGCCGACACCGTCGCCCGAATATTGTACAATGTGTGGTACGAAATCAACGCACATTATAGTTTATACGGCAGAACGCCCCTTCCAGTTTTGTATATTAAATGTTTTTTTTGTTTTTTTGTTTATCGAACGACGTTTACATACAGCTGGCAGATAAATAAGATAAACTTAGAAGCAAGTATTTAAAATTTAAATGAGAAAAACCTAAATTATACTATGATTTTACCTTCGTGCGATTTATAATTTTTTTCTTATTAAAGAAAACAAAATACATTGTTATATCTACTACCTTTAAGCAGAGCTTGTGTTGGTAGTAGAGTGTTACAAACTAAAATTATATATATATTACAGTAGCATATTGATTTTGAAATTTAATTAAACATTATATGAAGAGGAAATATAAATAAGAATGGATTTCTTAAAATATATTTAGAATACAGTTATAAACTAAATGTAAGATTGTAATTATTAACTATACGTCTATACATACATAATATTTAGTTAGAAATCATTAAATTTCTTGTAGAAGCTAATTGGAGATAGTTATTTTCAAATTAAATTTGAGATTTAATATTAATAATAACAATAATAAGTTTTTTTTGCTAATATACAATTTTCGGTACAACAAAAAAATAATAAAAAAAAAAAAAAAAAGTAATATAGTACAAAATAAGAATAAATTATATTGACTCACTTCTAAAAAACTAAAAGCTTGTGCTAAGAAGTGAGAGTTTCTTATAGCATTATAATATATAAAGGTAATGACTTAAAATTTAATAAACAACATATAGTCTTATTAAAAAGACAAGAAAAAAAAAAGAAAAGGAAAAATGTTTAAATCATAATTAAGTGTAACATAATCAAACTGGTTAAGCTTAATATATAATTTTAAAGAGTTAATATTATTGAAGTTAAATAGATTTAAATTTAATTTATGACACAACAATGTACATTTGTAAATAGAACTCTGAGAGGTTACAGTCTTATAGCATTTAATAGAATTAAGATTAGAATGACATTTATTTCTAGTATTATAATTATGCTCTATGGTATTTAAACAATGTCTATATTTATATACAAGTAAAAGCAAAGATTTATAATATAACATGGATATACGTTGTACATTAAAGTCAATGTATAACTGATTTGTTGGATATAGAAACGGCTTCGAGATTTGATTTTATAGTTGTTTTAATAGAGAAAGACACTGCATTGAAAAAAGTAGGTCCTAAGTAGTCAACGAATCTTGGTCCAATATTTTTTTTAGTATAATTATTTGAGATGTCATATTATGTTCTATTACGTTTTGAATATATGTTATTATTTATAGGAATATTTTTGGCAATAAATATGACTGCAAATTTTTTGTAAAGTAAATTGATAGGTAAAACGCCAAAATTTTTATAATTTAATTTAGTTGATCCATCTAACGTGTTTTTATCAAGGCACATACGAACTATTTTGTTTTGCTGGATAGTTAATGGCTTAATAGCATTTTTATATGTACCACCCCAGGCAATCATACCATACTGAAAAATAGCTTGGTAGAGAGACAAATATACAATACGCATAGTATCTGGCGAAATTATTTTTCTCAAACAATATATTTTGTACGTAAATGTCCTTAGGCGCATAGTCATATTATTTATGTGGAGTTGCCATTTCATATTTTGGTCAAAGATTAGGCCTAAGTATCTCACCATAGATACTCTTTTTATTTTACAACCATTAGGGTTGTAAAAATTATCTGTGATCTGGATTTCATCAAATGGGCTATGGCAAGAGTAAATAGAAAAATTATAAACTAGGTTTTATCAAAATTTAAAGTAATTTTTTTTGTATTTAGTTTTTGAATAATTTGGTTTAGCCCAGTCGATGCTTTAGTATAGACAGATTCCCATGATGTATCAGAGTAAAGTAAACATGTATCGTCTGCATATGTAAATATTAAACCATCTGTTTGCGAGTCACAAATGCTGTTAATATACATTATAAACAAAATTGGTCCTAAAACACTTCCTTGGGGAACACCACAATTAAATTCAACTTCATTCTTTAAAACGTTATTTAACATAACCATTTGCATCCTGTCCTTTGAGTAACTCGAAAACCAGTTATAACTATGATTTTTTATTCCAAAACTTAGTAATGTTTTTAACAGTATTTTATGGTCGACAGTATCGAATGCTTTGGCGAAATCTAGGAAAATCCCTATAGTTTTATCACCCTGATCAAACCCTTTATTTATATACTTAGAAACGCTATAAATTGCATCCACACTACCTACACCTGGTCTAAACCCGAATTGATTCTTAGAAAGAAGATGATTTCTTCCAAGAAACTCATTAGTCTAGATTTCACAATTTTTTTTAGTAGTTTAGAAAAATTACATAGCATTGAAATTGGTCTATAGTTACTCATAATTTCTTTGTTTCCCTTTTTTAAAAGTGGTTTGACTATTGCTAGTTTAAATTTCGTTTGAAAAATACCTTCTGATAAGCTCATGTTATATATATGCGCTAGAGGGCCAGATATAAATGATGAAATGTTATTTAGTAGTTTGACTGATATTGTAAGCACCATCTGGAATACAAACAAAGTAACTGAGGTTTTAAATAAGCTTCAGTAAATTCATACTTTTATCCTTGTAAGGGCATTTAATATCAAGAAGTTTTATAGGCACATTCAATTCATTAAGTATTAGGCCATCTGGTGTGTAGCTTAACCATGGTTCATTGACTACATTAGACAACCGCCTTGATAAACATGCTGATTTGTTTCTTTTTCATACAAAATTCTAGCTGTGTTTTCATATTTTATACCATGCTGCAAAAATTTGTTAGTTATTTTAAGTGGCCAAAAATATTTGTATGCCTTCAAACTCCATTCTTCATCGGTTCTGTATTTTAAGTTGTATGTGTACAACATATCACACCTAATCCCAGTTATCCTGTTATTAAATTTGTTATCAGTTTTGGTCTAACTCTGATGTAGTTAGGTTTATATAGCAATAATTGTAACCAAGTTATGTTACAGCAATCACCTAAGTTTAAAACTCCATGATTAGAAATAGACTCCAGTAGATCATGTGATTTTATAAGATTAATTTCATCAGAAGTATCATATATTTCTTTTTGATCTTCTACATTATCCCAAAGCTTTAACGCATTCAAAAATCATCAAGTGAATTTACTTATATTGTTCTAGCGACGGTTGTTTTCACGTGGACCATTGGCAGGTAACATCTGTCATCTATGGATGAAAGACTATGCACATCTTCGATATAATTTCTAGAAATAGTTAGTTAGATACAGTTATTTAACTAATAAGTAATAAGTAAAACAAAAATGTAAAAAAGTAATGCATCGTTAAGAACATTAATTAAATGGCGTTATGCAGAAAGCAACCAGTATACCACACTAGTTAAACTAAAATCGAGATTTTTTTTTTGTGGGTTGGTTTGCTTTTGCATAACGCTATTCAATTTATCGATTTAAGTATAACAGTACAGCTACAATATGTTTAACACATTCCAATTCATGGAATGTGGTAAACATTTATGTTATCCACATTCATCCTTTTTTACTAGTGTGTAAATTACAAATTAAACTTTAAGAAACTTACGTTTTCTGAAATAATTTTGCCACATAATATTATTTGATTACTGTTTAATACTTGTTCGTCTTCAATTATTTTTCTGGATGTATAAGTGCATTTGGTAAACTATTATAAACAAAATATTAAACATTTTTAACAATTTTTTATTAGTACTAATTTTAATAAATAATACATTTCAATATTTCAGATTCTCGCAGCAATAGTTACACAACTTACACAGTTGTGTTCGTACGAATTAAATTAGCACTTATCGCAGATACAACCAAAGCCAACCATACGATTGTATTTAATTAAAATACAAATATAATACAATAGAATAAACAATCTTGTTATTAGCTAGTTTTAGGTATTTTCGTTAAATATTTAATAAATAATATGTATTTTTTAATAGATGGGAAAACTAAATGATTTTAGAATTATTTTTTTAAATGAGTTTTTTGGTAAGGCTTTTTTTTTACAGAATGACCTGAAATCAACGAAATTAAGTTATAGGACCATGTGATAATAAATCGCAGTAGTATCATGGTTATATACCAAAAAATATTGCCCCCCCCCCCCAGGCAAAGAACCAAATCCGCCACTGTAGAAGTGTTTATAATTAATTTTTTTATTTCTAATTTCTAACTATAAATCGAATTCATTATCTATTAGCTCAATCAAAAATTGGCCTTTTAACGCCCATAGAGAAAACAGTTAACTCCTCCGTCTTATTAATACGCTATAAAATGACTATATGAGATATTTTTTATCAAATTTACGCCAAAACTGATAAAAAAGATATAACTAGAAAAAAGTAATATTTATACGCGTAAATATTAGTTGGAATGTTTAATTAGACGTCAGGAACCATAATAGTAGAAATAAAGAAAAATTGTCAAAAGTTTGCACTACAAATTATTGTGGCAAGAACAAAATAAGTCTAAAAAGATATCTCATTACTTGCTTCGAGTTCAAATATTAGCATTTTATATCAATATAGCCCATCACGAGGTTCCAATGAGTCAGCCGCAGTACCAACCATTACGGAACCCGACTGGTAATGGGCTTCACATCACCTTCATAATCAATTCTTCTGTCAGAATGATAGTAACGAAGCAGCCGTATGAGGTATGCAGGGACTACATTACGGACCGCCATCTGATCCGCCAGACGCCACGTTGCGGAATTAAACGTGTTTACGACGTCTAACGACACCAAGACGAATAGCTTGAGAATAGGAAGGGTCCCCCGTGGCTGCCTCATTGACCACCTCCTTCACCTTCTCCCGGGCATCTACAGTTGAACGGTCCTTCTGAAGTTGATCGTCTGAGAGAAGGGCTCCTCTAAAAATCTTACCATTGGTTAGAAAAGAAATTTGAAAAATAGATATTCACAAATTTAAATAAGTAGGAAGCAAAAGAATTAAGAATCTTTTTTATAATTTTTTTCAAGTAAAATTGTGAAAAATGGTTTAATTTCCCAAAGGGTAATTGTTTTGGATTAAATTACTTTCATAAATAATTTATTCAAATATACTTTTATTCTTCTTCGTTTCGGCCCTTAAGACCATACTGCTAAACACACACTTTGCCACCTATCCCTGTCTTCCGCTGCTTCTCTCCATTTGGTATCAGGTTCTATCTTTTAAACTTCTTTCTTCACACTATCTTCCCATCTTAGCTTAGGTCTACCTAACGGTTTTTTTCTCATAGGGTTTTCTTCAATCACCCGTTTAACTAACGTTCCCTGTTTGTGTCAAGCATGGCCTGCTTAGCTTAGTTATAGGAAATTATTAAACCCTGTATTATAATCTTTTGACAAATTGTAATATAGATTAGTTTTCATGGACATTTCGTCCATACAAAGCACACAGTCCATCCTTAGCATTATCTTTAACATTTTTCATTTTGACCTCCATAGAATTAAATAAAACATCAATCATTTTCAACTTTTTCGTAATTCTACGTAATGTCCTAGGAGAAGGTAAATGTAAAATATTTTTTAAAAATCTATAAGCCATTAGTCCGAAAAAATAAATAATTAAGTTTCATTAAGTTATTTGCTTCAGTTCGTTAGAATACCAAAAACCTTTGCCTTGATTCACACAAATCTCAACATTCAAGAACATGATATTAATTGAAAAGAAAAAATGTTTAAACCTATTGGACTTTTTTTCTTATTAGGTTAACATTTAGTATAGACTTTTAAAAATTAAAGAAAAATTTTCAAAATTATTTCTTTATTAACTCATTTAATATTTATTTGTTTCTCTCTCCTGGAAAATAAGATAAAGTGGACTTTTCCCCTTCTTGCAGTCAGTGTTTTATATGGTTTTAGGAATTTAATCATGATTTTTATTTTGGCGCCAAAGTAAAGCATCTGGTAGTAATTTGTAAAAAACTAAGCAATTATAAATTAAAAATAAGAAATAAATGGGGAATGCAAATGCAATGCTAATCAGCAACATTAATATTTTGAATGACGTAAACTACAAATTAAATACTTAAAAGCTAACGTTAGTAATTTCAAAGCTAAAAACAATCGTATAGCCGTCGTTGCGTAGAAACATAAGTTATTTATTAATGTTATGTGTAACATTGTTACTCGTAATTGTTTATAACAGTTATAGTGTTAACGAAATTGTTTTTTATGTGTATGTTTTGAATATTATATCAACATATAAAATGGCGAAACTAGATGCCAAACGAGAATTACAAAAATACATCTACTTCATGAACCATGTGTCAGCGTTATCATTACAAAAAACTAATATGTGGAACGAAATATCTTTCCCTCCGGGCAAATTAGTGAAACAGGACTGCTTAATTTTCGTCCAAGATAAAGTGAAATATCTTCAAAGTACCTATAAATTTAACAAATTTTGTTTTTTTTATAAATAAATCATTATATATAACGTAAAATTTATATATTTAATTATGTTATTCGATGGGTTAAATGGTTGTTATCTATTCAAGGTATCACATAATGTAATACTAACCACTCATTTCCAATCTCATCTGTATTACTGCAATCAAATTTGGTCTGTTTTTGTTTTATAGCTATGCTTGATAACATTTATTCCGAAATGAATGTCGAAACTCCGGATAAATGTTATTCAAATGTAAAGATAGCCAAAAACAGTGATCATACGTTGTTATTGAAAAATCATGATTTGGTCATGGCGTCAGAGAATTTGTTAAAAAGTTGGATGATAACGTTTCAATTGGTAAGTCTGTGAATACACACATTTTGTGTATTAATAAATAATTTTAATGTTGATGATGTATTGTTGTAGATAGTTAAAGATTATAAATATTTCAAACAAGAACCAGTAATTTATGGTCCGTACAAAGAATTGGAGTTTTGGAGGAATATGTATGTCAAATTCATTAAAATCTACAAAATAATGATGAGTCCGATTAGTAAATTAGCTGAAAAAGCTATTTTACAAAATAATTCAAGTCTAAAAGAGGTAAATTACGGTATTTTTTTTTTATTCTCCTTAGTAAGTATATTATGTTAATTTTGTGTTTTTTCCCTTATGTAGCCTTGGGAAACTGTTAAAGGACGAACTATATTATTTTACAAAGAGATGACGGAAAATTTAAAATATTTAAAACCTATAGAATTTCTTTTTAAGGGCTTGTATCGTACTGACCCACAGTCCATTAAAGCTGCTATAGCTGATGTGACTAATGCATTACCACTAGTTCGGTCTTTTTCCACCCACTACACTAGCAAGCGAAACATGACGAAACTATTATTGATGTGCGTCAACCAAGTAGTCATTAGTTCTATAAACTGTTTGACCAATAACAACACCACAAGTATTTGGAAACAATCCAAAGCGCTTATGATTGATAAGCTGAGCGAATGCATCGGCATGTATGATCAAGTGTTGAAAGGTTATAACGACATGAAAAATAAAACAAAAAGCGATAACCGTGAGGAGCTGGAATTTTCGCATGAAACGGCTTTAGAGAGACTCTTTTTATTTACCATCCGCTTAAAAAAGGTAAACGATCAGAATTTATTAAAATACTACTAAAACACAGTGTTATTATTCAATAGAGTCTTATGCGTTACCGCATGCATTAATACAACAAAGTATTATTGTTAAATGTTAAGCAAATCATTTTTTACAGATAAAAAATGTTATAGAAACTTACAGAAAGTACTTAGTGTTAAGTTTGTCGAAAATCCCGGGTATCGAAGAAGAGTTTGAAAAATTTAAAACTGCATACTTGAATTTGACAAAAAAAACTTACGATATTTTCAAAGTCGAAGATAATACATTTGATACTGACTGCGAATTGTTCCATAAAGAAATAATAGACTGTGAAACACAATTAACAAAACATTTTTATAGTGTAATTGAAGATACACCAGATTTCATGAACGTGCTTAAAGTGTTGAACAACTTTGAAAAATTGAATTTAAATTGTTTAAATATGGAAGATGCGTATTCGTATCTTCTTGAACCATCAAGTGACGATCAAAAACATTCTTTAAAAACTGTGATTACCAACTTTAGAAATGTGTACGCTATGTACAGAGCTAAGCCACCGATTGTATGGAATATGCCGATGATAACTGGACAAATGATCTGGATTAGTTCAATTCATACGAAAATCGAAATGCCAATGAATTTTTTTTTGGTAGGTATATAACGTCGTTTGATTAAATTAAACATCGAAAAAGCAGAATATTCGTCGTTTTTCAGAGTAAGAACCCAAACTTGTGGGGTAAGCTTCGTCAAATACGGATAGTTAAATCGTACAACTCGTTTTGCTTCGCTCTCAGAGTACATGAATTGCTGTTACACTCAAGGTGGTATAAAATTGCTAACAAAGTAAGTAGTCAAAAAGTGTTAAGTAGACACCATCGAATTAAACAGAACACAACACGCTTGATTGTAGTTAAAAGATTCCAAAAACGTACCATTACTGATAAGAGATCCTAAAACGAGGAAATACTATTGCACGTTTTCAAGATTTCTCATCGAAACCCTCAATGAATCACATCACATGCTTTTTAGACACCTCGCCATACCCGAACGTCTACAGTTTCTTGTCCAGCGTAAAGCCATGATATACCAAAGACACGCGTACGCTGATTCTCTGATCAAACGATACAACCGAATGAGGTAGGTAGTTTGAAATTATGAAGTTATTATGTTTATATTTAACTGTCGATTTTTTAAAATGCCACAACAAATTTTTGATATAACAATATTAGATTTTAAGTTCTTACTCGGTGTTAAGTAAAACTACAGTATTTAGGTTACTAAATGAAAAAAGTTAAGTATTTATATTTGAATATTTGACTTGCACCAATTACTAAATACTTGATATACTTACAACAGTGTAAAATACTAAGCATATAAAGAATTATATACTTGTAAAAATAATCTACTTAGAATTCTAAATATTTGATATAAAAAAATTTGGTATTTTATATTTGTTCAAAACTAATTTCAATCATTTTTACTTAAAAGTTTTGATTTTGAGTCAAATCATTTTTAAAAATTACGAAGTGACACATTATTTATTGATGTTTTCTAGGAGTATGGTGCCGCAAGTATTTCGAAATCTCATAAATTTCGAATTTATGAAAGTAGACAAATACTTGTCCCCTATGTTATCGGTTATAACATGGTCTTCTTATGGCGCGATGGACGCTATGATGGATATAACGAAAAAAATTGACTGCACTGAAAAATTCATAAAAAGGGTAACTATTTAGTATTAAATAGTTTTTAACGTTTTTTGCCATACAGTGGGCCTTATTTACATAACGTAGAGATAGATCGATAATAACACCTAACTTTTTGTGTATTTGCCTGTTTCAACGTTTGGCATCAATCTGGATAGAGTTTTGGCTGCACATTATGATATCAAACTTATCACTTAGCAATTGCTAGTTCCGCTTTTTTGACCATGATTTTTGCTGGATTAAAAACTTATTCCTGTGCGTGAGTAGGACTGTCTCTGTCTTCTCAACTGGGAGCGTAGTCCTAAGTCACCAATTTTCCAGTCTAATAAAGTGTCTCCCCTACCAAACCTTACACAATTTAATATATGTGTTATACTTTAGGTTATTGACATGGACATTAAAATATGCCAAACAATGGCGTCGGTAAGAACATTTTTACTCATAAAGCTACCTAGCGAACCGAAATGGATGAATGAGTTAGAAGAAATCAATGCTGTGCATCAAGACAAAGAGATAAAACATATTGAAAAGCTGTCTTATTCGGCGGAAATTGTTTTCCATCAAATGATGAATTCGATTCTAGCAAGAATAATTAACCTCGGCCCTGACAAATATAATTGGTTCGATATTGAAGAAGGTCTGAAACCTGTAACGGAATCAGATGGCCCGCCAACAACAATATCTCAAGGTTTGTTTGACAAAGCTTAAGACTAAACATGATTATCATATAAAAAAAAAATATTATTATAAAATTGTGTTACATTATTACGCATAGAAACAATATTTCCTGCGGCTGCTCACCCTAAAGTGAAACAAATACAAGATTGGTGTATGATTATTTTTAAATCTTACAACTTTCAATTTACTAAAATACTTATAGAGGCCATGAAAAATGCATTACATCTTATGGCCATGGGATTATCATACATCGAGTAATTTAGTATAACGTCGTCACAAATTAATCCACGTATTTAAAAAAAAAAATTGTATTAATGTTAAAGACGAATTAACCATCCAGAATGGTCAGCGGTAATAAAAGTAAAATTAGCTCTCGAGCCTACACAACCTACCCCTACGCTAGGGATATCGCCATCCTGGGACGAAATTAAACAGGCAATTGAAAGGATAACAACTAGAGCATTTAAAATGTCAGAAAAACTTACACGATGGGGCTTTCATAGAATCGTCGCTCAAGTAATTAAACTAGTATAAAACACTATATTTATTTATATATTCATTCAATTATTTTTTTAATTATGATAGAATGATAAAAAGAAAGAAGATTTTAGCTACAAAAAAGATATAGTGCGCCACAAAGATGTTGAAAGTGCTGCTACTTTAATTAAAAAAGCAATCAGACCAATAAGAGGAGAAATAATGGACTCTCTCATAAATGTAATATAATATTTATTATCATTCGCCTAACCGTTAAAGTCTAACAAGTGTAAACCTATCAGCTCCATTATAAACCAATTTGTATTTTAAAAATTATGAAAATGAAAGTACCTATGTTATTAAGAAGTGAAAATGAGAATATCCTTTATCTATACAATAAAATATGAAAATAAACTATACATGCATCAATAAAAAAACAAAAATCTGTATACCTATTGAATATTTTTTCATCACAATTTTAAGACTACGAAAAGTACAGATAAAATAGGATTTAACAGTGGCAAGAGGGAATAATTACATAATTTTTAAATTACAAGCTGTTCTGACCCGGCGTTGCCCGTGTATTAGAAAAGACACACAATCAGGTGGTCGGATCACTGTATTCCTGTGGTATGAGAAATCATAGAGATGTATCGATAATATTGATAATCATAATTAATCATTTTAATTAATTAAAAATTAAAAACATGTTCTATCGGATCAAATTGTGAATCTAAACCTTTCTCGAATCAACTTAATTGCGCACACAAAATTTCATAAGTAGTTTTAAAAAAATAGTAGTGCATAATATGTATACAGTGTGATTTTTTTATCATGAGCCACTCAATATCTCATAGAGTTTAATAAGAAATTAAAGTTATACAATATGAACTCAATTTTTCAAATTTTGTTTTTTTGTGTTTACCTAACCCTCTTCCAACTAGTTTTTTTGATAGCAACTTTTGAAACTTAAATGGTAACGTATATATTTTATTAACTTTTTAAATTGAGAATAATGCATTAAAAATTTTGACTGGTCGATAACCAGTTTCGGATAACAATTTTAAAAGTTATTAGAGTTTTAAAGTTAGGATTGAAGAGAAAGTGCGGTTGGGAAATGCGCGCAGATAAAAATAATACTACACTCCACATTTCCTCCTGCCCTAAACTTGATACTTCAGTAACTTCAAAAATAATGTGAGTCACATGTAATTATAAATTGGCGTTATTGTTATACAGGTCAATATTAAATAAATATTATCATTTTAAATGCTTAATTTGTTTTCTTATGGCAATATTCTTATATGTTAATTAGAATAGGCGTTTAAACTAATAGTTTTAGTTCAGATGCTGAGACATTGTTTGACTTTGAGCATAGTATCTACATTGAAAATTTTTATTAGAATTTGATTCTAAAAAATATTTTACTTTAGAAATATAATTTCAAATTTCGTAACGTGTGGGTCAATAACGCAGAGAAAGAAACAAAAATTGAAGACTTTTTAAAGATGACAAGTAAACTAGCTGATATACGCGGACAATACGAAGAAATATCTGCGAAAGAAAATGAAATTATTGATCAGCCTGATTTTGTAATAATAGGACCGTTGGAAGTACAACTGGGTAGTTAGATACAATTATAACAAAATATCTAATAAAAAAAATACTTGTGACATTACACATTTTTTTTAGTCGAATTTAAAGATAGATTACTTGAAGAAATCAAGTTATGGCAGGGTCTATTAACAGATGCTGTACTAAAGACTTACAGAGAAAAATTGAAAGTTCTCTGTAAATATGTAGAAGATAACTATGCGATACTAGCAATGCCTATAAACGAATTAGACGACGTAAGAAGAGTAATAGCGTGTTTGGAAGCCGTAGAAAAAAATTTCGTAACCGTCGATCGAGACGTCGAAGAAATCAAAAATGTATTTGATATGTTAAACGCATTCAAAGTAACGATATTGCCTGAAGACGAAAAAAAACTTATTTTTCTTACTGAAACCTATGAAAAAATGAAAAAGAAGGTGATATTTTTATTTTCTTTAAAGAAGGGGGAAAAGTAATAGGCTGTATTTTTAGATGTGTGATGTGCCCCAACGACTGGTAGACATTTATGTTCCGATGAGAATGGAACTAAGATTAGGCATAAAACGATTAAAGGCTGATATTTTGGTTTATGATGCACAGTTTGCCGAAAAAGGTCCAATGGTGAGTGGGTTAACACCATCAGAAGCCAGTGAAAGGTATATAAAAACGTTAACCAAATGTCAAATATACATATTTATTACTGTGTAAAATACCTTCCAACTAGAGTTCAGTTTCGGATCTATTCATGTTGTCAGCAGACGTTTCGAACCCATTACAGGGCTCAATTTCAGAGACATTGTCACTCTTCCACTGTGGAGACTGTACTCGGCTAGCTAATGACAACATGGATAAATCCGAAAACCCATGAAAGTTTTAATACATTCTTACCTTTCTACTGTTTTGCAATGTGTACATGCTATTAATTAAACCGGTCATATAATATATTGGACATTGCATACATTTATTGAGCACGATTTTTCATATAGAGTCATAATATTTCAAGATAAATTCGATGAATTGGTAGTGTTGATGGATCGTTATCAAGAAGGAGAACGGTTATTTGGAGTACCGATTACTGAATATCCTTCTCTGACTGAAAAAAAACGTATATTCAATTTATTGCAAAAACTGTACGGGCTATACGTTTTGGTCAATCATTCTATTGAAACTTGGTTGAATACTCTGTGGAGCCGCATTCGTATCGATGATATTATAGACAAGTTGACTGAGTACTCGACCAGATGTCGGAAATTACCAAAAGGGTTAACAGAGTGGCCTGCATATTTAGAATTGAAAAAAAAAATTGACTACTGGTCCCAGACTATACCACTTATTGAAATGATGATTAAAAACTCGCTTAAAGAAAGACATTGGCTAATGCTAGAAAAAGTTACAAATACACCTCTTCCAGTGGATAACGCTGATTTTGCCCTAAGAAACATCATGGACGCACCTTTGTTGGAAAACAAAGACGAAATTGAAGATATATGCCAAACGGCAATTAAAGAAATGGACATTGAAGCCAAACTACGACAAGTCATATCGGATTGGTCAACCGTCAAAGTGGAGCTGGCTAATTTCAAAACCAGAGGCTTGTTGTTGGTAAAAGGTCAAGAGCTAGGGGAAGTTGTTGCACTTTTGGAAGACAGTCAAATGGTCATGAGTTCATTGGCGACGAATAGGTATGTAATTTAATTTGCTACATGACATTTCTTCTGGTTATAATAAAACTATTCAGGTACAACCTTGCATTTAAAACGGAAATAATGGATTGGGTGAGGAAATTCGCTATAACCGGACAAGTCTTAGAAAACTGGATGATAGTACAAAACCTTTGGGTTTATTTAGAAGCAGTATTTGTTGGAGGTGATATAGCTAAGCAACTTCCTTTAGAAACGAAACGTTTTAGCGTATGTATCTAAAATATCCGTTTTTGAGTAATCAACTAATTCGTCATTTTTATTTCCCATTAGAATATTGATAAATTGTGGGTGCAAATCATGACTAGGGCCAAGTTTACAGAAAATGTAATAGAAATTTGTACTGGAGATGATTCTATGGAAATTTTACTTCCTTACCTTAAAGAACAGTTAGAACTATGCCAAAAATCTTTGTCAGGGTAAACAATTATTATACTCCGTTTGGACCGACTCGCGTTAATTACTATATTTTCAGGTATTTGGATCAAAAGAGAAATGTTTTTCCGAGATTTTATTTCGTTTCCGATCCAGTATTGTTGGAAATTCTTGGACAGACGTCAAACTCACACGCTATTCAACCACATTTGCTTAATGTGTTTGATAATATCGCCAAGTTAGGTTTCAGTCCAACGGAATATGACAAGGCTATGGATATATCATCGAGAGAAGGAGAATCGATTCCACTTGAACATCCTGTTGTGTGTGTGGGAGGCGTAGAAAATTGGCTTACCACTTTGCTTAATGAAGCAAGAACTTCAGTAAATCAAGTTATAGCGAATGTTGCAACTTATATGACGGATCCGTCTTTCTCGCTTTTAACCATGGTGAACACTTTCCCAGCCCAGGTAATGAAAATAAAATATATTTTTAGTTTCATGACTTACTGAGAGAAATTAACTTTTATATTAGATGGGTCTTGTTGGCATACAAATGCTTTGGACGTATTATACAGAAAACGCAATTAGCAACGCTCTACTCAAAAAAACTATAATGAAACAAACCAACGATTATTTCATTATGTTGCTAAACACTCTCATCGATTGCACTACGTTGAACTTGACTAGCTCGGAGAGACTGAAATACGAAACACTGATCACAATTCACGTGCACCAGAGGTAATTTGGTGATTTCGTCGTAAATTTTTTTGCCTGACATATATATTCCTGGCATACTCTTTTTTTAGAGATATTTTCGAGGTATTGTACCGCATGAAAGTATCAAGTTTAGGTGATTTTGAGTGGTTGAAACAAGAACGTTTTTACTTTAACCTCGAAATCGATCAATGCGAAGTCCGCATTACTGACGTTACTTTTATATATCAAAATGAGTTTTTGGGAAGTTCGGAGAGACTTGTCATTACACCGCTTACTGATCGATGCTACATAACACTAGCCCAAGGAATAGGTATATGATGGTTTAGATTTTTTTTAGTTTCGATACGTAGCTGAAAAGGTATTGTTTTTACAATGTTGTGTTTTTTTTGTGACTGTACCCTCGATATCATCTAGAGCGCTAGACCGGGTTCTTTATGTAGTAATAAATCAAAAATCATATCTGAAATGACAACTATATAGTAAAACTTTAAGTTCTTTATAATTAAAAACTGTGGAGCCTTTTAAAAGTATTTTGTTAACTCATATTCTTACTGCAAGTTTTTTTTGTACTTCGAAAGGTCTTAGTGTATTGTCTACACAGCCACTCCATATTATTGAACGATATTGAATAATTGATTTGTACAAAGCATTATACAACTTCTCTAGGTAAAATTTTGTTTAGCTTGCACAATTTGAAAATAATATATCTTAAACGCATAATCATATCATCAATTTCATTGTAAACATGTTAGAATGCAACGTATGTTCAAACGTAAATACGTTTCAATGTATTTTATAACATAAATACAAACAAAAACGACCAATAACTAAACAATTTAAATGTGTTCCTATTGAATATAGGTATGAATATGGGCGGTGCGCCGGCTGGACCAGCAGGAACGGGAAAGACTGAAACCACCAAAGACATGGGAAAGTCGCTCGGCAAATATGTTGTAGTCTTTAATTGCTCCGATCAAATGGATTTCCGAGGCCTCGGTCGTATTTTCAAAGGCTTGGCACAGTCGGGAACGTGGGGTTGCTTTGACGAGTTCAATCGTATAGAACTGCCCGTATTATCCGTAGCTGCCCAGCAAATTTACGTACTATTCACTGCTCGTAAAGAAAAAAGAACTATGTTTTTGTTTAGGTAAATATTAAATAAATTGCTTAAATATATGTGTCGAATTTTAAAATGAAATTTTACCTGTAATATAAAATAAACTATATTTAGTGACGGCGACACTATTCCTATGAACCCGGAATTCGCTATATTTCTTACTATGAATCCCGGTTATGCTGGACGCCAAGAGTTACCAGAAAATTTAAAAGTGCTATTTAGAAGTGTTGCAATGATGGTGCCAGACCGTTTGGTAAATAACACTAAATTTATATTTATATTAAAACAATATAGGCCAAAAAATCAGACAAAATGTCGAATATTTAGAATGATTAGATTTCAATTCTGTAAAGATATACGAGTTCTTTGGCAATTTTACTAAGTTATGTAGGTAACAGATTTTTGATTATTTTAATATTGAACAAATTGCATATTTAATTATAATAAATTGTATCATTTACCATAATTTGTTTTCAATGAATAACCTATGTGGGGCTTCTCCCCTAACCTTTCCTCCTCTTGGGCGGTACCCTATAACAAGAATCTTACTTATTTAAAATTTACGTTTGGTTGGTTTAAAAAAAATAGTTTTCGTATCAAGTATACCTATCACAGAATTACAACAAATAGATGGTATCTAATTAAAAAAAAAACCAAAATTCCTACGTCTTCAATATCAGGATAAATTTTGCGTCCTGTGAAAAATAAATCTATTCAGAACAATTGGTTTAATGTGTTTAATTGAGGTGTTGTGGAAGTCTGCATTTTTGTGAATGCAGTCAGTCACAATTAAATGTTTAAATACGGCCATTTTTAAGCTATATTTCACTTTTCAGATAATTATACGAGTGAGAATGGCTGCTGCTGGTTTCAAAAACAATTTAGCACTGTCAAAGAAGTTTTTTATTTTGTATCAACTTTGCGAACAACAACTTAGCAAACAAGTGCACTACGACTTTGGTCTAAGGAATATATTAGCAGTTTTACGAACGCTCGGTACACAAAGAAGAGGCAATCCTAACGAATCCGAAGAAACCATACTGATGCGAGTGTTAAGAGACATGAACGTTTCCAAATTAGTCGATCAAGACGCTGCCATATTCATGTCTCTAATTGAAGATCTTTTCGTCGGCATGAAATTGACCACATCGACTTACAAAGAGTTGCAAGCAGGAATCTTAAAATCGTGCAATGAATTTTCATATGTAAATCACCCAACATGGAATTTGAAAATTATTCAGGCAAGTGCCCATCAGCGTTTTAATTCTGATTATTTTTAAACGTTAAAACATTAAATATTAGTTTCATGTTCAGTGTTATTTTGTTCTTAAATCTACATTTTATAAAAGTGCAGCCGATAGATAAGCGGTTTAAAATTTGGTTATATATAAACTTGTTCGAATATTTAGGTCTATGAAACATCATTAGTGCGTCACGGATTGATGATACTTGGACCAACTGGAGCTGGTAAAACCGCCGCTATTCATACATTATTAGCTGCATTGACTAAAAACGGAAAACCGCATTTTGAATATCGAATGAATCCCAAAGCGATTACTGCGCCACAAATGTTTGGGAGACTAGACGTGGCTACTAACGATTGGACCGATGGGATATTTTCGACACTTTGGAGAAAAACATTAAAAGTAATCTATTTCAGTATTTGCATGCGTATATATAATTGATTTAGTCAAATTCGCATATTTGTTATGTATTCTAGATAGATCCTGGTGAATTTTGTTGGATTGTATTAGATGGGCCAGTAGATGCGGTGTGGATAGAAAACTTAAACTCTGTCTTAGACGACAATAAAACTTTAACTCTAGCAAATGGAGATCGGATTGTAATGGCGCCTAATGCGAAATTATGTTTTGAACCAGACAACGTTGACAATGCATCACCAGCTACAATATCCAGAATGGGAATGACTTTCTTTTCGTCAACAGTATTATCTTGGAAAATTGTCTTCCTTGTATGTATACGTTAAAGTGAGTATTTGATTCGTTTAATTTACGCTATACAAATACTGCTCAGGGGTGGGGTAAGAAAAGAACTAAACACGAATTTGACTGTCTTCAACATCTTTTCGAAAACTCTTATGATGGCTTGATCAAATTTCTCAATGCTAACCTAACGCCTAAAATGAATTTGTTAGAAGCTCATTATATTCACCAGACTTGCGATTTGCTCGACGGGCTACTGGAAATGTTTAAAAGTCCGACAGGTGATTGTTTGTTTTTAGTAAAACAAAAATTAGTAAAACATAATTTAAAAAAAAATGTAACTTCTTGCATAGATTTGCCTGAGAACACTATATCTCGTTTGTACACATTTTCAATAATGTGGAGTATTGCTTCTGTATTGGAGTCGGCTAATCGTCAATCACTTGAAGAATATATTTTAAAAGAAATGAAAGGAATAATGAACGTACCCAGACTCCAGGTAAATAAATTTTATTTGTACCATATGAAATAGTAAAGACATTTATAAATAAAATATTTATTCAAAAGGAAGGGGAATCGATTTATGAGTATACTATATCGAAAACTGGAGAATGGAAACATTGGGGAACACTAGTTACGAATTATAGTTATCCCAGTGATTACATACCTTCTTTTGGCGATATTTTGGTCCCAAATTTAGATAACACTCGGACCATGTTTTTGATATCGTTGATTGCGAATCAAGAAAAAAATGTTTTACTCATCGGCGAGCAAGGGACAGCCAAAACTGTTATGATAAAAAGTTTCATGTTAGAATTTGATCCAGAAAAAAGGTTAAGCAAACAGCTCAATTTTTCTTCGGCTACTACACCCAACATGTTTCAAGTAGATAAACTATTCTCATATGATAAACATTTGTATTTATAATACAACTATTGTAGTTCACTATGGAAGGCTATGTGGAAAAAAGATTCGGTACAACTTATGGTCCACCGGGTAATCGTAAAATGTCTATGTTTATCGACGACATTAACATGCCAATTATTAATGATTGGGGTGATCAAGTAATCTAAAATAGGTACTGAACGATGAAAAATTGCACGTTAAAAAAAATGTTGTCCCTTATTAGGTAACTAATGAAATTACACGTCAAATGCTCGAAGGAAAGGGTTTCTATTCGTTGATCAAACCTGGAGAATTCACTAATATCGTGGGAGTAAACATGTTGGCTGCGATGATCCACCCTGGTGGAGGGCGAAATGATATACCTCCAAGACTGAAACGTCAATTTTGTATATTCAATTGCACGTTGCCGTCAGACACGTCGATGGATAAAATATTCGGAGCATTGGGATGTGGATACTTTTGTATAGAGCGTTTCCCAGAGGTAATTGTGTCGTTTGTTCCGAAGTTGATACCGTTGACACGATTGGTATGGCAGAAAACGAAGCAAAAGCTATTGCCTACACCCGCCAATTTCCATTATGTTTTCAACTTACGAGATCTTTCACGTATGTGGGAGGGCATGTTACAAATTGGTGCTCCCGAATGTGATGAAATCCCGTTATTGCTCAAACTATGGTCTCACGAAATGTTGCGGGTGATATACGACAAACTCACAAGTGCAACGGACAAAGAGTGGTTCATCAACAACTTAATTTCTACTTCGCGGGAGTTTTTAAATACTGAAGAAATAAAAATGTTTCCCACTGATCATATAAATAAATTTGTTTTCGTCGACTTTTTACGTGATATGCCGGAGCCAACTGGCGATGAACCTGATGATTTTGTATTCGAGGACCCAAAAATTTACGAACAAATAGAAGAGTAAGTAACCGAATAACACATAAATCAAACCCAGTTAAATATTTTTCATCTTTAAATATTTTTATATTCAATCAAGTAGATCTTTATCAAAAACGTATATGATTAATACTTAAATAAGTTGAAAAAGTTAACTCTTTAACTACCAAAACCGGGAAAATTACTAAAAATACTAAAAGATGTTGGGCTTTTAACTTCTATATATATATTACTATCTATAAAATAACAACCCCTTTGACAGCTAGTCATCGATGTGAAGGTGGTTATAAAATTAAAAACTGTAACAGGATCCTCCTTAACATAGAAATTTTGAATTGTAAGTTATGATAAAAACACTTGTGTGAAGTAGAGGTATAGGAAATAACAAAAAAGTTACTTTCGAGGATACGTTTTCATGACAATCTGTTTATATCATACTTCTTACTGTTCCTGGCGCATTGAATCAGTTTGTTAATAATGATATAAATTTCAGAATTAATAAATGCCTTGACCCAACTTTGCAAACTTTTTACTGTACTAGTTTAAACTGTAATTGATTTATATTGTACATGTTTTTTGTTAGTTTCGATGTTCTTGAAGCTAGAGTTCTTATGTTTATGGCACAAATGAATGAAGTAGTACGAGGGTCAACAATGGATTTAGTATTTTTCCGGGATTGCATGATACATTTAATAATAATATCGCGAATTTTAAGAATACCACGGGGAAATGGTTTACTTGTTGGCGTCGGCGGTTCAGGAAGAAGATCAGTTACATCTTTGGCATCGTTTATCGCTGGATATTTCCAACACAAAATATTTATAACGAGGTACGCTAGCATTTAACTACAGTTCATATATATATATATACAGAGTGATTCAACTAACGTAAGACAATAATTTTCTCGGAAAATATGAATATTTTGAGAATTTTTTTTCATAAACTTTTAGTTACAAATTTTACTACATTTATCAATATTTAGAATATTTTTATCTTCAACTCTTATATGTAAAACAAGTATCGCATATGGTTTCTTATATGGAACGGAGTTTTTTAATTTCATAAATTTGTAGACATTTTTAAAAAAATGTTAGCATTTGAATTTCTTATTTTCAACTACCTGGTCGTTTACTATGACTAAAAAGATTTAAATTTTAAATCAATACTTGTTGGGTAAATAAAACAGTAGCACTTCTTTTGTCATTAAATAATAATACTGTCACCGATAATCAGACATAAATAACATTCGCTCCATTTTTTTAAAATTTTATATGAACAATCGATTCTTTATCTACTTGCTCGGAAACAAAGTTTATGAGACCTATGACCGTTTTTCATAACCGTCATTCGTTCACATATCTTATCAGTAGACTGTACGTTACCTTTTAAACCCCTCTTTGCGGTATGAAGTATGATTATAGTATAACGATAATATTATCACATTATCATTATAATATTTTGTTGTAATTCGGCGTCTGTATTCAGTACCTAACAAGACGACACATATATATAAACAACTTTATTTGAAAAAAAAAAAATAAATATAAAGTGTACTTCATATATTTTGTGTTGCCTGTCGACATAGCATACTAATCAATCGCGTTATTGTTAGTATAAACTTATTAGTTCATTATTATTATTGGTCTATTGCTCATCTGATTTTAATTTAGTAAACTGTCATTTACATACGATTTATTTCCTAGTAAATTACTATGGGTAACAAAATCAATTGAGGCACAGTGACCTATTAAAAATATTTGCAACTAGAACGCTAATAATAATCACTATCGCTAGATAAAACTGTCTAGTGATATCATGTATTACTACTTCATTAATATAATATACTAACACTTGATGGTAAACATCACTTAGAGTACATGGAAAAAATTGCTGAAAAAGGCATCTAGTAACTACCGCTGCCAAAAAATAGTAAAAATGATTAAAATATAGAATTAACGGTCAAGTCTCACATGAGGGCCTATAGGTTTACAAATGAGCCTTATATTTATCACATAATAAATCAATCCTTTAGTATTTAAATAAATATTTATAATGTGAAGTGGGTAAAGGTAACATTTTTAAATTATTCGAAAAATCATCGTCAATAAGGAAAATTAATTAACGTTATTAACCTTGCGCTGAAAAGCTAAATACGAGATACTACTAATTTTCATTTCTTCAAAATGTGTATGTACATGATTTAAAAAAAAAAGAAAAAAATTTCTAGATTTTAAAATGAATGGAACAAAAATTTGTTATAATATGTTCTTGATTATAAGCCAAATCACATACGTTATATATCTTTTTAAACAAATATATACATACAAATAAAATATTAAAACACTGAATTTAAATTATTACTAAAGGACATTCTACAGAAATGTTAATTAATAAGAAATATGAAAAATTGTATACATTAGTTTAAGAAAATGACAAAACATTAATTATTTTTAAGATTAAATTGTGTTTTAAAGTCAGTATTAGTAAGCTGCTTTAGTTTATACATGTAAGTTATTACAACTAAAATAGTTTTACTAAGATTTGATTGTTCTAATTTACTGTCCAAGCAGACTGGCCTAAAGAAATTTCCTTGTTAGTTCTGCAGGGGTGTTAACAACATTATTCTAATTTCTTTACTTAAAAAACGCTAAAAGTTACGGTGTAAACATGTGAGCGCATAGAGATTAAAAAATTCTAAAAAAAGTTAGATTTGATGGTTTTTAATAATTGAATGTCTTATTAAGTCATACAAAATGTTATTATCATGGCCTTTTTCATCAACCATTAATATTTAAAAATAAATATTTGATTAAAATGCACAAATAATAGTCAAGCGCCAATTTTTATTTTAAATTTATATTTAATCTTTTATATAAAAATCTTTTAGTTTAAATGAAGAGCTACATATCAGCAGGTTCACAAAACATCAAATCTAACTCAAATTTAGGTTAAAAAAAAGAGTAATCATCTTTACATAATACCGATTGACTTTCAAGTAAAAAAAACTTATGTTTTTAACATTTAATAATTTTGCTAAAAAAAATATTTTTATGAGGTATTATTACTCGACACAAAATTTTGAGTTTAATTAACGATGATTATATCCTTCTTCAAAGATTCCAAGTAGAAAGAAACACTATAATAAATCTTTACTTAAAACAAAATAAATATAATAATTATTAACTTACATATTTCAATTCTTTTATGATACCTAATCTAAAACAATATTACCTTGTAGTATTTTGTATGTTTTTCGGTTTATAAGCCAACTGTGTTTTCAAAATAAAGACACAACGGTAAAAATACAAATTTAATTAGTTTAAAATATTATAGATTTATGAAATTTACATCAATGAAATATGCATACCTATAATTGAAATAAAGGTCACCACTTTAGTCAGTCACAAATTGCACATGAATTGTCAATTTTCAAAAATTTTCACAATTTCTGGATTAATTTCACAGGATTAATATCTTAACAGTATTCTTCATAAAAAATCTCGTTCTAAAAAAAAAATGTATTTTATAAATTAAAATTATTATGATGTTTGATAAATTTTACTTATTAACATTACGGAGATTTGTCGTAAATATCTATTTCATATTAATTGCCATTATCATTACCATCAGCAATGATTAGTTATTACTTTCACATCAGGGTAATATATTATAATATATTACCCTGATGTAAAATTTAGTATATCTTCAGTAGCTGGGACATAATATGTCAAATATCAAAAATATGATAACAACATTTTCACTATTACTATTGGGAACAAGTTTTTGTTTATGAATTCATTACATTTATTACTGTTCATCGTACGTTGTGGAGCATTATAAAATTTAGTCAAAATTCGGGAATTTATAAACACGATTGGCAATACTTCAATGTATTAATAAAACGACACAGGACAATTCCGGTGTCTGAATACACAATGCAAGTCACGTTGCCGGTTGCACGCACTTTTTTTGGACATGATAATATTATATCAGAATCATACCGTCAAAATATTGGAAGGTTGGGTTAGAAAAGTGTTGTATACTTAATTGTAGAAGAATACAACTCAACTTTAGGATTAATAAAAGACGTTTATTATGAAACGCTATAACCGCAATGACAAGTAATTATTTTCAATATTAGCGTACGCCGTGAACAGTCCCCACTGCGTACACATTAATTAGTGTTATCTGAATAACCATATTATAAATATAACAATATAACAATATACAACACCTCTCTCCTTACATTTAATTACAAATTATTTACAATTATTTATAAGACATTTTAATCATGATTGAGAAGGTGTGCGAATAAAATGAACAAAGATACAACTAAAAACAATGCTATCTCTTTGTATAGTAATTTACACATAATTTATACCTAAGAATAACAAGGCTCGTGCTTATAACCAATTTAAACAAAAAAATAACGATAATCGTCTTATTTTCTAAAATCTAACGACTTATAGCGATCAGGCGATCTCCTGACTAACCGGGCGAGAATGTCCAGTCGAGCTAGTCATAATTCCCCCGTCTACGTCATCCTCGACCACCTCCTGATCTTGTACCTCCCTTGGTTCGAACGAACTATCATGACCTTCGTCTTCGGGTACCCCCAGGTCCCTATTTGGTATTTTAATGGTTTGGTCTATGTGTCGCTTCCACGTGCCCGCCTCGGTATCTACCTCGAACGCGTGTTTACCCATGGTGTTTGATACTGTCCCCATTGACCATTTGTTATCCCCCCTTCGGTAATCACGCACGGCCACTGTGTCTCCCTGCCTAATTTTGAGCTGCCGTTTGCCGTGACGTTTCACTTGGGAATTCTGGTGATCACTAACCACGTCCTTTGTACTCGGGATTAAGGTATCGAATTGTGTTCGAATATTACGACCTAGTAATAATTTCGCCGGTGTCTGGCGTGTGGCCGAGTGCGGTGTATTGCGATAAAATAATAGACATTATTGCAATAGTGTAGTACTGGTGGTTTTATTTTTCTTAAAAAAAAGTTTAACTAATTTGACCCCTGATTCGGCTGATCCGTTCGTTTGTGGATGGAACGGGGCCCCTACCAAATGCTTAATGCCGCCGTTGGCGCAAAACGTACTGAATTCCGTTCCTGTGAAACACTTAGCTCCATCGGAAGTAATAACCTTAGGGACTCCAAAACGTGCATTATGTTCAGGCACCGTTTTACCCGATACAATGATATCATCAATGAACACTTCCACTCCCTCTTTTTTTTTTTGATACTTTCAATTGCTTTCTGAAATTCACCCGCCGATGATTTTAAACCGAACGGAACGCGTGTGTACCTAAATAAACCTTTAATCGTATTTATGGTCGTTAACGCGCGTGAATTATCGTCGAGTACCAACTGCTGATAAGCGTCCTTCAAGTCTATTTTAGAAAAATATCTCGCGCCCGCTATTCTGGCGTAAAGGTGTTCTATCTTGGGCAGGGGATATTCCGTACTGACTAACACGGGATTTATGGTAATTTTAAAGTCTCCGCACAGCCTGACACTACCGTCCCCTTTCAATATTGGAACTACGGGAGTTGCCCATTCACTGTGGTCGACGGGTATCAGAGCGTTGATAGACAACAGTCGATCTATCTCGGTCTCAACTTTTCCCCTTAATGCTAAAGGAACTGGACGATGTTTAAAAAACTTTGGCGTGATCCCCGGTTTTACTTTTAGTGATATTTTGTATCCATTAAAAGTCCCCAGCTCCTCACTGAACACGTTTGGATACTTTTTTAAAACCGTTTCAACGCTATCCTCTGCGCCGGTAAAATTACACTTTAAGTTTAACACGTTATTAATACCGAGCGTTGATAAATCATTTCTACCGAGTAACGGTGGTCCCCCGTTTTGAACAATATACACCCATATGTCGGCTGTTTTATTGTTATACGTGACGGTGAGCGCGACTTTACCTATCGGTGTGATTCTATTGCCGACGTAATCTGACAACTCGACGTCGTTAGTGACAATAACCTTCGGACCTATTAATGATTTAAACATCGATTCGGAAATAATACTGTGCACAGAACCGGTATCAATTTCAAAGGTTATAGGTTTACCTTCGACAGCTAAATTAATTCGATACGGGGCTACTTTAAGCTTATCGTGGGAAATATCATTAAGTGCAAAAAAAGAATCGATTAAATCTACGCAAGAATCGTGATCGCCTGACCGCTCCTTTACCGATAAAAACTTATTTTGCGCCTTATACTTAGTACCTTTATTTTGTGTACCCCTAGCTTTGCACATAGGGGCCAAATGACCTACTACCCCGCACCCATTACAAGAATAATTTTTAAACCTGCATGATCCGGTGTCGTGGTTGGAACGGCCGCATACTTGGCACTTCCCTTTCCCGTTGGCTTGGTTACTCGTGACCGCATTCTGGTGATGTCCACTTGACCGCTTAACTCCATTTCGCTTCGGTGTCGTGTATACTTGACTCCCTTTCTGTTTGGTGAAGTGGAGCGCACTGGTCGTTTCCCTTGACCACTCTTTACTCGCGTTGATGTTTGCCTCCTTCGTGGTCGCCACCTCCATCAGCTTAACCAGCGTGGTTGATGCTACTAACGCATCCTCTTCCAGTAATCGATCCTGGATCTTGCCGGATCCCATTCCAACAACGAATACGTCCCGCACTACTACCTCCAGCTCTGGCCCAAAACCGCATTTAGTCGCAAGTTCGCGTACGCGAGCGCCCCACTGGACCACACTTTCATCGTAGTTTTTACGAGCTAGGTAAAACTGGTGGCGGGCGGCAAAATACGATTTTTTTGCCTCATAGTAATTTTGCAGTATGACCGATAACGACTCAAAAGTCTTACCGTCGGGGTCCTCGGGCAAACACAGACTGAACAGAATTTTATGCACTTCCTCCGAAATCGAGGATAGCAAAATTGCCCTCTTCTTACTCTCCTCCGTGATGCCGTTGGCGGCGAAAAAGTTCTTTAGCCGAGCGAAATATATCTTTACATTCGTCTCTTGATCGAAAATTCCCGGAGTGCCGATGACTTGCGAGTAGATGGTCCTTACTGACGCCGATGATGCTCCGTCGTTGCGTGATGATTGTGTCATGTTAAACGAGTTCGGTTTTTTTTTTTTTAAAATATTTTTTACTAACAATATGTATATAAAATATGTTATATACTAACAACAAACAAAAAAAAAAATTTTAAATCTTCGTCGCCAATTTGTTGTATACTTAATTGTAGAAGAATACAACTCAACTTTAGGATTAATAAAAGACGTTTATTATGAAACGCTATAACCGCAATGACAAGTAATTATTTTCAATATTAGCGTACGCCGTGAACAGTCCCCACTGCGTACACATTAATTAGTGTTATCTGAATAACCATATTATAAATATAACAATATAACAATATACAGTATAACATTATACAACAAAAAGAATTTCGTCGAAAGTGTTGTCTACTGATACAGTCGCGGTTTCCGACCGTAGGTAAAGAACCGCTTCTCCATATATTATAAAAAACAAAAAGTAAGGAGTATTATTACTATCTGGTTATCGGTTTTATCGACGGACGACAGGGTCGATAATATTATTTAATATGCTGCCTGTGTTGAAATCCCAAATTAATATGGATCAAAATTTCGAATATTTAATCAGTAAAAAGTAGGGAACCGATTTATGAAAATAAGAAATTGAAACGCTAAATTTTATTTTAAAAAATGTGTCTACAGATTTATGAAATTAAAAACATACATTCCCGTTTAAAAACCAAATGCAATATTTGTATTACGTATAAGGGTTGAAACTTGAAGATAAAAATATTCTAAATATTGAAAAATGTGGTAAAATATTTATTTAAAGCTTAAGAATAAAAATATTCTCAAAATTTTCATATTTTCCGAGAAAATTAGTGTCTTACGTTAGTTGGATCTATATATACGTACATACACGTTCATTCATATTTAGATTAAACTAAAATATATTTATAATATCAAATTATTGAAGGAAATGTTAGTAGATTTTTAAGTTAATTCGAGTTAACTGTAATAAAAAAAAATCATTTTAAACGTGCTTATTATATAAAATTCAAAAATATTTAATCGTCTGAAGCACCAAAGAGTAAAAGTCAAACTTTGAACGCGTGACTATACATTTATTTAAAAAGTGGATCACTTTAGAATTTTTTGATAAATTAGATAATAGATAAAACACATAGTTAATATTATATTTTTTTTTTACAGAACTTATAATGTGAATAACTTTTTGGATGACATAAGGCTACTCTACCGAGCAGCTGGGTTTGAAGACAAAAAGACTACGTTTGTATTTACAGATAATGATATAAAAGAAGAATCTTTCTTAGAGCATCTGAACAACATACTGAGTTCCGGAGAAGTCGCTAATTTGTTTGCCAAAGATGAACTTGAAGAAATGTTGACTTCATTAACGCCAGCATATAGAAAGAAAAATCCTAAAGGCATCCCTACTTTGGAAAATTTATACGAATTTTTCATTAAACAAGCCGTAAACAATTTACACATAGTGCTATGCTTTTCTCCGGTAAGGTTTGGGCTAAACTTTTAGGGAGAATCTTATTTTATAAAAATGTTTTCAACATTTACAGATAGGCGAGAGTTTCCGTTTGCGTTCATTAAAATTCCCCGGAATTATATCTGGTTGTATTATTGACTGGTATACATCATGGCCACTTGAAGCTTTACACGCAGTTTCACATCATTTTTTGAAAGATTTTGACGTTTTATGTAGCCCTAATGAAAAGTCTTCACTAATACAAATTTTAGGGGAAATACATAATAACGTGGCCAAAGATTGTATCAGTTACCAACAAAGGTAAGTCACAACGCGCACTGTGTATATTTTGTTACAATATTAACTGACGGCGAACACGTAAAAAGTGTGCTTATGTTTGCATATATATCATTTAAACGCGGCCCTGGTTTGGGCATTTTAAATAATGGATGGTGGGGAAAATTTTAAATAAAATGAAGATATATATATAATTAATTATTAATTAGAGAGCTCGTAAATTATATGTTAATTATTGTTCTTAATAAAAATAAAAACCAATTTTATTACAAAACAGAGATTGGTTCAGTAATAATTTAACTTTTTAAAAAGTTCTAGATACTTTAAAAGTTTCAAATATAATAGTCAAGGTATAAAAAAAAGATAATTTTAAAAGTTGTGTTATGCACACAGAAAACTTGTACAAAAGAACTTTACTACAAACAAGTTTTAAATCGATGGTTGGGCCATCGATTATGATATTTTACTTTGTATAATATCATAGACTAAATAACAAAAAAAAATATTAGTTTTTAGGTTGGTCATGACTACAATGCTACGTTAAGAGTTTATACAAATTATATTGAAGAGCCTACTTAAAATAGTTATGTAGTTAAAGCAAATTTAATAAATGTTTTGAACTTAACATAAAATAGTATGCAATATTTTGTAAAATAGTAAACAAGTAAAAAGTATATTACTTTATAAAAAAAAATCAAATATTAATTTTGATAACTGTTATCGACCATTAAAACGTATGAATATTTTCTAAAATTAATTAATAAACAAACAAAGTTAACATGATAACTACTTATAGTGTATTATTTAAAATATAATTAAAAAAAAAATAATCTATATTAAAAATATTTTATGTTTTTATCAATAGATTCTTCGCTGTAAATTAGGAAGGGTAATTTTATAGTATGAACTATGGTGTAAAAACTAAGTTCATCTGGAAGTGGTGCTTTTTCCCTTACATATATTTTCTTTTTATTATTTTTACAATGTAGTAATTTATTTATAATTTTTTTTTTTTGGAAATTTCCTCTTTTTTATTGTAGTACAAGAACATAAAAATTAATTTTAAACATTTAATGTTATGTAAGGTACCGTCGTCAAATTTACGTTACACCCAAATCTTTCCTTTCGTTTATCGACGGTTACAAAAGTTTGTATACTGACAACGTTAAAGAAATCGAGAATATGAAAGTACAACGAGTGTTGGGATTGGAAAAACTTGCTGACGCTTCAGTTCAAGTAGAAGTACTGAAAGTCGATTTGGTTCAGAAAGAAAAAGAAATTACTATTGCGAATGCTGCTTGCAGCGAGGTTGAAATATATTGAATTGATGTTCGGGCTTTTGGTTTATACATTGTAGTTATTCAAATTTTAGGTGACGGCTAAAGTCAACGAAGTAGTGCAGGTAGCAGAAAAGAGTAAAGCGGAAGTTGCCGTTGTAAAAGATAAAGCGGAAATTTTGCTAAAGGGAATTTCAAAGGAAAAAAAGGTTGCGGAAGCTAAACTCGCTAAAGCTCAACCGGCATTGGACGCTGCTGAAGCTGCCTTATTGGTATAACGAACGCTTTTATAACAATATTTGCGTGGATACATTTTATAAACTCGCATAAAATAATTTAATTATCATTAGTTATAAATTAACCAATTAAATTTGTAGGAACCAAACGGTTAAAAAGGATACTTCTTTCAAAATACATTTTGAAATGTTTATTATATGATTTCTAATAACAAATTAGTTATAATTTAACTCTGCATTAAGTCAGAATAATTAATTATTCTTTGCTTGGAAATATTAAGATTTAGGTGCATATATTATTTACTGATAAATAAAGAGAGTACAAGTGGACTTATACATTTTATAATATTTTACTTCAATAATAGATTGGAACTTTTTTTTTAGTCCATAATTATGTTATTGAAATTACTATGGGTGGTGTTTCGTCAAATTAAACTTTTCTATTGAATTTCAACTATCCCTATCGTCTCTCTTCTCAAGTATGTTAATAACATCCATCCATTCAATCATATATAATTAGGAAAGATTCAACAAATTAACTCAAATCAATTTTAAAATAAAAAAATAATTTATAATCTATTATCTTAATAAAACATGGGATATGAATTTTCGTAATAGATGTATTATTTAATTTTTATATCAAATATTTTATTGTTTTAGACAATCAATGCATCTGATATTGCCACAGTACGTAAACTTGGGAAACCTCCCTATATGATCACGTTGATTATGGATTGTGTACTTCTATTATTTAAACGTAAAGTAGAAAAAACTATACCAGATCCTTCAAAGAATTTTTTGACTCCCAAATGGGAAGAATCTTTAAAAGTAACAAGCACTACTAATTAAAAGCAACATTAAAAACAATTGTTTTAAAATCTAGATACATCGAATTATTATTTTTTCTTATAGCTTATGTCTGACACAAGGTTCTTATATAACTTAAAAAATTTTCCCAAAGACCAAATAAATGGTGAAGTAATTGATTTGATGCAAGCCTATTTCAAGTATTCAGATTATACTTATGATAAAGCAAAAATTGCATGTGGTAACGTAGCAGGTCTCATCAAATGGACATGGGCAATGGCTGATTTCTTTTTCGTGAACAAAGAAGTACTACCGTTAAAAGCAAATTTAGCTCTTCAAGAAGCAAAACATAGTAAAGCAAAAGAAGAGTTGAAAGCCGCTGAAGCTATTGCCACTGAAAAAAACCGAGAACTAATGGAGGCAAAAAAGAAACTGAAAGTAGCTTTAGATTCTCAAGGAGAAGTGCAAGCAGAAGCTGACCGATGTAAAAATAAAATGATGTCAGCTACAGCCTTAATTGATGGTTTGGAAGGCGAAAGAAAAAGATGGACTCAACAACTGGCTGGTTTCAATATCGAAATAAAAAAATTACTAGGGGACATTGTAATACTAACAGGATTTTTATCATATTCTGGGCCATTTAATCAAGAGTATCGTACTAACATTATGCAATCGTGGTACAATCAGTTACATGAAAAAAATATACCAAATACTGTTGGCTTGAGTATAGTTGATAAATTAGTAGATCCACCGACAATCAGTGAATGGAATCTTCAGGGGTTACCAAACGACGAGTTATCCACCCAAAATGGAATCATTGTAACTCAAGCTTCAAAATATCCCGTTCTAATTGATCCACAAAGTCAAGGTTTAGCGTGGATAAAAGCTAAAGAAGCAGCGAACCAAATGAAAGTCACCTCTTTTGAAAATAAGTATTTTAGAAATCACCTTGAAGATTGCGTATCACTTGGAAAACCACTATTAATCCAAGATATAATGCAAGATGTAGATCCAGTTATTACCAATGTATTAGAGAAGAACTATTACAAAGTGGGAAAAACTTTAAAGGTATCGCTGGGAGATAAAGAAGTTGATATCCACGAAAGTTTTCGAATGTACATGACTACAAAACTTGGAAATCCTTCATACCCACCCGAGTTGTACGCACGATGTTGCATAATTGATTTTACTGTCACCCTGAAGGGCTTAGAAGACCAACTGCTGAGTAGAGTGATTGAAACTGAAAAAAGAGAGTTGGAACTGGAACGTGTAGAATTAATAGCTGAGGTAACATCGCAAAAACGTAAAATGCAAAAACTAGAACTCGATTTGCTATTGAAACTCACCACAGTGCAAGGGTCACTTGTAGATGATGAATCAGTGTTGTATACTCTGAACAAGACTAAAGATACTGCTGTAGATGTCCAAGAAAAAATTAAAACAGCCAATGAGACACAAGCATCAATAAATGTCGTACGTGAAGAATATCGGCCAATCGCTACTAGAGGATCGGTTTTATACTTTTTGGTCGTAGAAATGGGAATGATCAATTCTATGTATCAAAATTCATTGCAGCAATTTTTGGAACGTTTTGACCTGTCTTTACTTAGAGCAGAGCCTTCACTTATTCTAAGCCGTCGAATCACAAATATAATCAAGTGCTTGACGTACGATATATTCAAGTATAAATGCCGAGGTCTATATGAAAAAGACAAGACTCTATTTACTATTCTCGTGACACTCAAGATAGATCTCGACTGTCAAAATATCAGCAAGGACCAATTTGAATACTTTATTAAGGGCGGTGCTTCGGTTGATTTGTCATCGATAAAGCCTAAACCTTTCCCGTGGATTACAGATATTTGCTGGATGAATTTAGGCTTATTACAAACTATTACCCCATTTCAAGAAATATTGAACATGGTATCGCAAAGTGAAAAACAATGGAAAACGTGGTATGAAAAAGGTGCACCCGAAAAAGAAGTCATTCCCAACGGGTTAGACAAACTTAGGCAATTTGACCGATTATTGGTGGTAAGGGCATGGTGTCCAGACAGAATTTTAAATCAGTCTTTTGCTTATGTCGAAGAATCACTTGGACCTAAATTTGTGGAGTCAATTATGTTTGATATTGAAGAAATGTATAACGAATCGAGAAGTACCACTCCGCTTATTTGTTTCCTTAGCATGGGTTCAGATCCTAGTAATTTAATCGAAACAACAGCAAAAAAATTGGAAATCCCGTTTAATTCCATATCGATGGGCCAAGGACAAGAAATACATGCTAGAGTGTTAATAGAGAACTGTAATAACAACGTATGATATTTATTGACGTCGATAGAGAAGTATAGACGATTTTATATAATTGTATTAAGTAGGTTTGTACTTTTTTATAGGGTGGTTGGGTTTTGTTACAAAATTGTCATTTATGTTTGGATTTCATGAGAGAAACTTACACATATATTATTACTAAAGCAACCACCACACAACATGACAATTTTAGAGTTTGGATTACATCTGAACCGCATCCGAAATTTCCTATACCTCTTCTACAAATCTCCGTACATTTTACCTATGAACCTCCAGAAGGTAATTATTATTCAACGGTTTATTATGATTAATTATCTATGTAAACGTTATTCAGCTACTAATTTTAAATCACCTATCGCTTCAAATCTATTATTTAGGATTAAGAGCTGGATTGAAAAGGACGTACAATACCATAACACAAGACGATTTCGATCATTCTAGTTCTCCTCAGTATAAATCGATTCTATACGCCATATCTTTTCTTCATTCAGTAGTACAGGAGCGGAGAAAATTTGGACCTATTGGTTGGAATATCCCTTATGAGTTTAACAACGCAGATTGGTACTCGTCTATGTTATACTTACAAAAAATGATAGACGAGATGGCTGCCAACTCTCCAGTGAACTGGGTTTCTTTAAGGCAAGCCCGTTTTTGGTATTTTATTTATAGTTCTTAAATTCAGTCGTATAACACATATTTATGTTTAATAGATACATGTTGGCAGAAGTGCACTACGGCGGTCGTGTAACTGACGATTACGACCGGCGTCTTCTTAATAATTTCACCGTTATGTGGTTCATGGACGAAATATTCGAAGGTCATTTTAATTTCTACAAAGGTTATAATATTCTGAATTTCAAAAAACTATCACATTACTGGGACGCGATCGAAAATATGCCATTAAAAGAACCTCCGCAAGCATGTGGACTGCATCCAAACGCCGATATTACGTATTTAAATAATAACACATTTAGTTAAATTGTTAAGATTGATTGTCTGCAGGTAACTTCATCATATTTTTTTTTTAGATACCAAACAAATATGATTCAGACTATGTTCGACAAAATCACGTTCATACAACCAAAAGGTTCTAGCGGAGACGGAGAGTTTACGAGAGAAGATAAAGTATTTGCAATGGCGAACGATATTCTGAAAAAACTACCGGCTGCTTTTAACATGTTTACCATTAAAGAACGGTAAAAAAAAAAAAAGAATGCCATACTAGTTAAATTTCAACAATAAATATGTGTACCTACGTTATGTGTTTAGATTAAGCCTGATGGGCGCAACACAACCAATGAATATATTCTTAGGGCAAGAAATCGAACGAATTCAGATCGTGATTAATTTAGTAAGAAAGACCCTCGAAGATCTTTTATTAGCAATCGAAGGAATAATCATAATGAATGAGGTAACTATAAAAAGCGTACTCTATAACTGACTTAGGAAAATACCAATTATTTCTTTAATTGTAGGATCTGACGGCCACGTTGGACTTCCTATACGACGGACGTATTCCTAATCATTGGCTAAGGCCGTCTTGGACGTCATCATCGATAAGCTTTTGGTTTAACGAATTACTCGACCGACAAATCCAAATAGCCACGTGGGTTTTCAAAGAAAAACCTACGAAATTTTGGATGACCGGATTTTTTAATCCTCAAGGCTTTTTAACCGCCATGAAACAAGAAATATCGAGAGCTCATGCCGGATGGACACTAGACAACATGGCTCTAGAAAACAAGGTGACTATGTACAGCAAAAATGAAGTTGGAAAACCGCCAGCTGTAAGTTGAAAACAATTGCGTGTAAAATGTATTGTGGATAGATTGATTACATTAACTCAATACGACAGGAAGGAGTTTACGTGTACGGATTGTTTTTGGACGGAGCCGGTTGGAATAGGAAAACTAGTACACTACAAGAAGCGTTGCATAAAATATTGACAACGGAAATGCCAGTGTTTCATATTTATGCGGTTCATTTATTAAAGCCTAAAGTTGTAACGGGATATCAGTGTCCCGTTTATAAGAAACCAAGACGAACGGGTCTATTTTATGTTTGTGAATTAAGTCTGGACACGCCGCCAGAACTTCCGGCAGAACACTGGATTTTAAGAGGAGTGGGTCTGTTATGTGATATTAAATAAAGTGGATTCCCAGTGGGAAACTATATTGTATACTTGGTTAAAACCTGTTGCTATGTGACATCGGTATGTAGTCTTTTTTCGATTTTTTTTGTAATCTATCTAACTGGTTATTAGGTGAAAAAAGTTAATAATTTTTTTTTGCAAGATCCTGCTAATTTTTTTCCAAAATAAGTAATAAAAGTACATTTGGGTTCAGAGGTAATTTGGGTTATTTAAGTCATAAAGCCCACCCCCATACATATTTTCTTTGTGAAAACATTTTTATGTTATTGTATTATATTACAAAATTACCAATTATTACCTTTTCTGATATTTACCAGAGCGTTATCAACTTTTGAAACTTAAATGGTAACCTACACTACCTCAGTGACCCATCTCTCACTAAAAGCTTTTTCTGTTTAAGTGATGGTTACTGGCAGTGTATTAAATATCCACAGTATATCAAAATGTTTATAAAAATATTGTAAGTTTGCATACATTTCGTTTAAAAGTTGTAATTCAGGAATTTTAAAACTGATTTATGATTTTTTCATAAATGTAATAATTGTTTAAACAGATATTAGAAGATATACTTTCAGAATATTTTTTTATCAGTTATTTTAAGTTTAGTTCTAGTCCTGCACAACATAATTTTAAATAGTATAATATAGAAGAAAACAAAAAACATTTGTTAGTGTGCTTCAAAACGGCGCATCAAGTCAGTGTAATGAAATCTATTCTACCATATTACACAATATCTCTCCCAAAATCAGAATTTGCTTTTTTTTTTTATCAGACTGAGTAACTTTTTCTAAAGAAATTTTGTCAAGAAAATCTTTTTTTTATACTAGGGACGTTTTTGTAACGGTTGACTAACCGGCCCACCATATATGTATCTATCTAACTGACTAAATATTTATTAGTAATAAAGCCTGCAGAAGTGCGCAATTTTGCAAAAAAAAAAGTAAGAATGTCTTAAATAACGTTAATATAATCATCATCATATGGTTTAGGCCTTGGTATTGGCCAATTTTGAAATATTAAAAATATTAAAATAATTTCTAGGTTGGTCATGCAAAGATATAAGTAAAATGGAGTAATCATACTCTAGAGCCATAAGTTTTATACATATATTATAAATAATCATATTTATATTATATATACATTTATAAATATATTATGATTTTTATAATATTTGTTAAACAGAAAATTCTTCATGTTATCATAGAAGATTCCGATGAAATGCACATTTTTTTTTTATTCTGTTTACTATCTTCTCTAGGAGGGCTTAAAAGCCGGTTTTTTTCCAAATAGTCGCTTTTTAGCCGTTTTAGATCTAAAAGTTTAGCAAAATAACGCCTAGTTAAGATGGTCCGATTTCAATTCTGTAATAATATTTGAGCCTATTTTTAGATTATTGTTGGAATTGGATTTTTGGTATTTCGATTAAAATTGTTTTTAAATCCTAATTGAACTGTTCAACTTTCTTATATGTTTAGTATTTATTTCATTGTCTTTTTTAAGTAAATGAAGTAGTTATTCAAAAATCTACTTCCACAATAATCTGGGAAAGACCGATGAGCCAAATATGTTTACAAAATTAAAAGTCGATAATTCGAAGTAGGCGTAATTTTGTCTGGCTTTTAGGTCTTAATTGATTTTATGTACTACTAAAATGGTTTTAATTCGTAAAAAAAAATGTATACGTTTAAACTAATTCCATGAAGCTTATACATATTAAAATGGAAATAATTCGTTATGGCCGAAATTTATAAAACGACTTTTTTCTTAAATATTGCCTATTTAAAACTAAACCTTAAAAACCACCCGCTTCCAATCCCTTTATTATTGTTAAGGGGAAAAAATACAGATATCATAGCTTGATTAATTAAAAAAAAAAAATTAACATTAAAATAAACTTAAAGCATATACTTTTTGCATAGGCACATGTCTAGTGTTCGGATTTTTAGGGTTTTACATATATTATAGTTTATACATATGCAGCTCAATGGAGTTAAAAAATGTGAATTTGACCTTTACAGAATTAGTAGAAAACAATATATGTTGCGTATTAGAGAATATTTTGGCTATTTTGCAAAATTGCCAGTAAATAATCATATTCTTTGTTATTTTTATTAAATGTGTATTAATTTTAAAAAGGCTGTTTTAAAAGTTAAAGAGTTTTTTTATTTAGAATCTTATACAGTGGTTTATGACATAAACACGAGAAAAACATTTTACATAACAATACAATACCAAAAAAAAAAAACTTTTTTAATAATAATAATTTAACTACATATATATATATATATACACGTGTGCTGACTCTACAGCTGTCGTTCCTACTTGCTGTACGTCATTGAGATGCTCGATGTAGATTTCACGAGAAAATCTAATCACCTCATTAACGCACAGTTTGCGCAACAACGACGCGTAGGACCGGGCACACAGCTTTTGCAGGAGCAGATCGTTGCTCTGGTGTTGGGACCCGAGTGCACCAACTACCACCGGATACTGCTGCTGCATTAGCTTCAGCCAACTCGGCCCGTAACTCCTCATATTTAGCCCTCTTCTCGGCGGCAGCCGCCTCAAACGAAGCCAGTCTGTTTTCACAGTGGATTGTGACGTCTATGATATAGTTTTGACCGCCATTTTATTCATTACTATGAAAAAAATATTTGGGTTGAATTTGGTTTTGATAATTTACCCCCTTCACGTGCCACAAGGGGGTTGAAAAATGACCAAATGGGGTAGTTTTATAGTTTTTTGAGTTTAAATAAAAAACTATCGCATTTATCATAAAATTACATTTAACTTTATGATAGATAATTAAATTCTTTATAAAAAAGGTTTTCACACATTTTTCCAAAAACGCATTATTATCCGAGAAAAAAAAATAAAACATAATCTTTTTCATTTATTTGGAAAGACTGGTTTTCTACGGTTATTTAAATATGTTTGATGAACGATTGGAAATCGAGTAAAACGCTCTTAATGCATTTTATACAAAATTCAATTGCCTACAAAATAGATTATTAAGAAAAATTGCATACGACCAACTATTATGTATTTAAAGATCGCTTAAACAAATATATTGTAAAAAACGAAAATTGTCGTTAGAAAAAAAAGTATAGAAATCGACAGGGAACGAAATAAAATAATCATATATTTCCTATTATTTAAAAATAAAACAAAAACTTTTTAAGCTAATATTTATTGTATTGTACACATTACATATAATATTATTTTGTGAAATTAAATTTAATACACCTATATCATTACAATATTTTATTTGAAAAATTAAATTAAAATATTATCCAAGTTAATATTCATTTTCTAGTGTTTTTCGTTTAGCATCAGGAAATCGTCGACGATAATCTTATATGGTTTGCATTAAAACTTGTTTCTGATCCTCATCTTTTGTTATCACTTTGTTGTAATCACTTATTAATTTAACGCCACGTTCAGCAGCATCATTTACCACTTATAACTTGCTAAATATTTCTATTCCTTTTAAGTCATTTAAATTTGTATGCCAGACTTTAGGATCTTGATCCAAAAAATCGGTAGTAATATTAAATCTCTGAAATAATTTATTCGAATGTATGTTTATATAATCATATATATATATATATATATTTATTTTTCATAGAATTAACATTTTCAAATGAGACCAAGTGCTGTTTTACTGAATTTTCACCCGAATCACCTCTACCATTTTCCTTTTAGCTTCTATTGATATGTTAAAATAAAAAAACGCGAGGGCTGCTGTTTCTGGGCTTAAGTACCATAAATAGCCAACAAACTTTTTTAATGAGCAATTTGAACTTTATTATCAATATCTTTATACTCAATAAGACTCTGAATAAATAAAAGATCTTGGTACGGGGCTTCTGTAGCAATGTGCGAAAGAAACCATTGTTTTATATAAATAAAAATAATAAAAATACATGTATCACGACATGCGTTTGCTTGAGCTAATTTCATATTAAATTGCTTTCGAAAAATGAAAATTTTAAGACAATAAATTGCCTTGGCCATCCATCGAGCATGATGACAAGCTCCTGGTACTCGAAATGATGTTCCTCGAATTGGAGTTCCACCAAGAAAAATGATTGAAAGTTCCAATGGCTCCCTATAGTCTTCTCTAAACTGTTTTTCTTTAGATACATTATGTGCAAACTCAAGAATTTGATCTTTTACATTAATTAATACTAAATATACACGTGGATCTTCTATACCATGGTTGAATTTGTCAGTGTCAAATTTATACCAATTATCTTGAAAATTTTTGAACAGTGGAATATTAGGACCTGAAGTAGACCCAAATTTCTCTTCAAAAACGCATTTCAAGACAAGCTCATATATATGATGTCTACAAAGAAGATACATCATATCCTTTCCAAGAAACTGTTCTAATATTAAATTGATCAAAGTCCAAGCGTTAGATCAACAAGTATCGTCACCAAAATACAATACCAACATTATCAGGCTATATGTATTTCAAAACTTATAAAACATTTATGTACTAATTAAGTTATATTATAAACAGCACCTAGCCACTGGCCAGTAGGTACTTGGAGACAAATATTTTTTTATAGGAAAAAATATGATTATTTTATTTAGTTCCCGGTCGATTTCTATACTTTTTTTCTAACGATAATTTTCGTTTTTCACAAAATATTTGTTTAAATGATCTTTAAATACATAATGGATGATCGTATGAAATTGTTCCTAATAATCTATTTTAGTTTTAGTTTTAGTTAGTTAACGGGTAGGCCCAGAATGGGCCCATGCACTCAGACCTACATGTCCATTGTGCACACCCTCTCACCGAAGTCCTGTTTCACATAGTTTGTCATGCCCATGTCCTGCTTAGTTAATAACCTTCTAAGTTGAATAGTCCTGATTCCTTTATAAATCTCAGTAACTCTTTAATCCCAGTATTTTTGATTTCATCTTGTCCAGGAAAAGGTCTACCAAAGATACTTTGCCTTAGGGTAGCAAGGGAGTTACATTCACACATGATGTGGTATGACGTCTCCTCCTCTTCTCCACATTTCCTACACACTGGTGATTCTGTGATCCCCATGGTGTGTAGATGTTTGAGTAGATGCCCGTGGCCTGTTAATAGTCCAACTAGCATACTCATTTGGTTCCTGTTGATATGTTTAAGATCCTTTAGTAACGTACCAGGAAGCTTGATGAACATCTTTGATTGCCTAGGTACTACTAGGTATCTCCATATTATCCTATGTTCTTCCCTACTCCAGTTTTTCGGTATTGCTCTCAGTGTTTGCTCTGATAATCCTACCGCTGGTTCGGAACCAATGTAGGGTGTTTTGGCTCCTTTCCTAGCTAGGAAGTCAGCTTGTTCATTCCCCAGTACACCATAGTATCCTGGTACCCAAGCTAATTTAATCCCGTTGTTCCTAGCCAATGATTCCAGAGCTGTACGGCATTCTAGGACCAATTTTGAAGTTACTTGAGTTTTGATCAGTGCATTAAGAGCTACTTGACTATCACTAAGAATAGTAATGTTTCTCCTCTTATATACTGCCAGGTTTTGAGTACATATTAGGATCGCCATCACTTCTGCCTGGAAGACAGTAGGTGTTGTACCTAGTAGTATGCTGATACTAATGTGTGGTTTCTTGCCCCATACACCAGCACCTACTTTACCCGACATTTTGGATCCGTCTGTATACACTACAAACCCTCCACTCTGTGTCAGGTGGTTTATGTCCCAGTCTTTCCTCAGGGATATTTCAACCTTATATAGACTGCTGTCAAATGTGATTGGTTTGATACGGTCCGAAGGGTAGGCCATTAATTCTCGACTTTTACCTTCTAGTATTTTCCCATGCTCAATTAGTTCACTACTTTTCGTCCAGTCTCCTGAATTATGTAGTCTCAATGCAGTGCCTTTGGCGTGAGCCTTGATCTCCAAGTGAAGTGGAGGTAGGCCCAGTAACGCCTCTAGCGCAACTGTTGGTGCTGTTCTCATCGCTCCAGTGATAGCTAAGCAGGCCATCCTCTGTATGCTACTGAGTTCCTTCCTGGCTGTTACTAATTTTGTTCTAGGCCACCAGACCAAGGCTCCATACATCACCATAGGTTTTATTACTGACGTGTATAGCCAATACATTACTATTGGTTTTAACCCCCAAGTTCTTCCAAGGGCCCTACTGCATGTCCACAATGTGACCATTGCTCTTTTGACCCTATCTTGAACTTGAGCTCGCCAGCTTAGTTTTTTGTCCAAGATTACACCTAGGTATTTAACTTCTGGTTTGAAACTTATTTCTTGTCCACTAAGTAAAAGAGTTTTGGTATTATCAACTCCCAATCTTTTTCTTGTGAACATGACTATTTCAGCTTTACTTGGATTTATAGCTAAGCCATATTTGCTGCACCACTTGTGCACCGTGTTTAAAGCTTGTTGAGACAGGTCCATAATGGTGTCTGGAAATTTGCCCGCCACCACTATAGCCAAGTCATCCGCATAAGCTTGAGCATACCATTTCCCGTTCAGCTCACTTATGAGGGAATCCAAGACTAGGCACCATAGCAAAGGAGAAAGAACTCCCCCCTGTGGACACCCACGTCTCACTCTCCTCACTGCTTTTGAGCTGTTCAGTTGTCCTTTAATTAATCGGTCTGTTAGAATGGTCTTCATCCATTTGTTAATGAGTGGTTCAACCCCATGGTCTAGTGCCGATCTACACATTGCATCGAAGGGTGTATTATCAAATGCCCCTTCAATGTCTAGAAACATGCCCATGGCATACATTTTACTTTCTACAGCTCTTCCAATCTTCGTTGTTAGATTGTGTAGAACTATATCAGTTGATTTGCCTGTTTGGTATGCATGTTGATTCCTGTGTAGGGGGTATATTTTCAGTGGCCCCTCTTTAATATGCCTATCAATAAGTTTTTCCATAGTCTTTAATAAGAATGATGTAAGACTTATTGGTCGGAACGCTTTCGCTTCATAATAATTAACGCGGTTTGGTTTCGGTATGAATACCAACCTAACCATCCTCCAGCTCTCCGGTTGATATCCGAATGCTGGCATGCTCTATAAATTCTGCATAAGTGTGGACCTATTATGTCTAGTCCCTCCTGTAGGAGAGCTGGGAATATTCCGTCACTACCTGCAGATGTATACCTTCCAAAGGTCTTAATAGCCCATCTGATACCTCCCGGTGTAACTACTTTCCTGGATAATTGCCAGTCGGCCCGAGAAACAGAGTTCCTCGATGCCACTCGTTCAATTACTTCAGTGTCTTCAGTTGAACCCGGAAAGTGTGTACTCATAAGGTGAGATAATGTTTCATCATCACTCCTGGAGTATTCACCGTTGTTAAGTAGAATTCCTTCAACTACTCTGCTTGGTCCATTCCTTAGTGCACGAAGGAGTCTTGTTGCCGTGGGAAGTTCGTGGACATTCCCACAGAATTTTCTCCAGCTCTCCCTTTTTTACCTTTTTATTTCAGATTTGTACTCTCTTTGGGCCGTTCTATATACTTCCCAATTCCGTTCCAGATCTAATTTAATAGCTTTATTCAAGAGTCTACGTGTACTCTTCCTTAACTTGGACAAATGCGCACTCCACCATGCGACACCTTGTCCTAGACCCTTTTTCTCTATTAAGGGACAACTTTCCTCATATGCAGACTCAATACTTGCCTGGAAGCTTTTTACAGTTTGTTCGATAGCCTGCTGTGATCCAAATCTGTACTGTGAACTCCCCAGGTTGCGTGTTAAGGCATCTCTGTAGTCTTTCCAGTTAGTTCGCTTAGGGTTTCTATAGAACTCCGTTCTGGCTTTGCCCACTCTCAGAGCTAGATGTATGTGTCTGTGATCAGACAGAGAAGATTCAGAGGAGACCCTTCATTCCTCTATTCTCTGAATTAACCCTTTTGAACATACAGTGATATCTATGACTTCTTTCCTGTTCCTGGTTATAAAAGTAGGTTTACTCCCTTTATTCATTATAGTTAGGTTTGTTGAAATTAAGAAGTCCATTAGTTTACCTCCTCTTTGGTTGGTGTCACTACTTCCCCATACAATATGGTGAGCATTAGCATCCATACCCAAAATGAGTTCTAACTTTTCTTGTTTGCAGTAGTTTATAAGCTTTGTTAGGTCTCTGCTTGGGTCCGTAGACTCGTATGGTAGATACCCTTAAGCTACAACTACTCTCTCACCATCATCTAGCGTTAGCATAATTGCTGTCAAGTCAGCACCAGACCAATTAAGTAACAAGCTAGAATTAAGTTTATCATTTACCAAGATACACGACCTTGGTCTTTCACTGTTTTTGTAAAACAGTTTTAGACCCTTTCTCTTTAGCCCTTTTATCTGGTTCCCATTTATCCATGGTTCCTGAACAAGTGCTATTTGTAAAAGTGTTGTATGCCTCTCAGTTAGTAGCCGCAACAGAACGTCTGTGGCTCCTTTACTGTGATGCAAATTAATTTGCGTAAATTGTAGTTTGTACAGATCTTGTTTACAAATCATTTGTAACAGACTTTATATTACGCATACCTGCCGGGAATCAGTCCCAGTTATCCTCCATCCCCTGTTAGTGTCTGCACCCTAGCGTTTCCATCTATGTTCCTTGTGCGGTCCATGGATGGATCTTCGTTGGGTTCAACCGTTGATGGGGTAGGTGGTTTTCCTGGTCCTTTTTTTCCTTCTCCGGTCAAATTTCCTCCTTTCTGCTTCGCATATGGAGTATAATTTGCCCGTTTTTTCCCGAACTTGTCCTTTGCCTCTGATGACAGCAGTGATTCTTCGGCCTTCCTTTTCCCTGATGACTTGGGTGGTTGATTCTTAAACTTCCCGACTTCATCTTTTGCTTGGGCTGTTTCATAGATTCTGAAGGTGATCCTGCCCATGCCGTAGTATGGACAGTTCTTTGTTGCCTTCAGAATGTCGATGCTCTTTTCATCTATGCCCAGAATCAAAGTTTGGCCTTTGAGGCTCGCTTCAGACTTGTGATAGATCCTCCATTTGGTGGTCTAAAGTCCCGGGTTTTGTGTTTGGCCTCTTTGACCGGCCCCGGTACAAATGTCACCATTTTAATCAGACGTGGTAAGGCAGCTGATTTCATCAGTTGGATTTCGGCGCCCTCCCACGGTTTGATTTTATTGACGTTTTCAGTGAGCCATTTTACTGTCTCGCTGTCCGCTGTACTGATGATCAGGGCTCCATCAATTAGCCTTGTGCCTTCGAACCTTGGTATTGTTGTCCCCTCTAGGTCCATCAATATTAGGTCGGCGACACAGGTTTCTATCTGTTGCCCTTGTTCACTTGTCAGTCCATTTCCAGGATAGCCCTTTAGGACCAGAGCTACTTTTTTGTCATTGGCCACTGCGTCCCTGTATGTCGGTTCGTGGCGTTTGACTTTTTTCGGCGGTCCATGGTCTTCCACCATAGGTTTGGCAGTTTTCGTACCCTCTGTCACTACCGTGCCTGAGATTCCTGGGACTGTCTCCTTGTTAAGGTTTTCCATGACCCTCGCCCTCTTATTTTTCCTTTTCTGAGCTCCGCTAAGCTTTTTCGGCTTGATTCGGAGACCACCTATCTTGTCGGCGACATCTTCCAGTCAGTCTTCAGACTCCTGGTCCGATGCCTCAGTTCTCTTGCCTTCCAGAGGTTCCGATTTCTCGGACCCGTCCTTCTGCGCGTTGAGAGACTCCAGTCGAGCCACTACTCTACGAAGTTGGGCTATTTCACGATCCTGATCCGATAGGTTTTCTATTTCTAGATCCCTGCTCGTTTCAGTCTCGTCCTGTGTTTTATCGTTGATTTTTTTGGTTTCCATATGGTTCCCACGTCTCCTCCGGAGGTGAAACTCTAGACGAAGACGAAGCATTCAGAATGCCAAACAGAGAGGATTCCCCGGTCGTACGGCAGCCAAGGAAGCGCAAGAAAAAGGATGACGAGCCCATCTCGGAGCCGAGCTTTGGGTCTTGTAACATACAGGACTTGGAGGACGACGATGTGGCCATCGAGACCGGCCTGCGCCTAGCGTTGGTACAGGCCACCCGCCTTACTCTAGAGGTAGATGGTGCGAAAGAAGTAGGGGAGATCGCAGACCACATAGTGGAGGCGGCGCACGAACTGGACAAGACAGTTACGGCGCTCAACGACCTATGGGCGACTCGGTCACCCAATAACTATGGTGAAAAACTGGCACATGCAACCCTAAAAACTTCCGACCTCCGGGAGCTTGGGGTGCAGTATAGCATTATGCAAGAATGCATAGAAAAACAGAAAGGAAGAGGCATAAACCGAGTAATACAAGACGCGTGCTCAAAAACCGGAGTACTACTCAAGCGGATCAGCGAACGCGTTGAGACTGACACGGGTTCCCAAATCCCGCTGGCAGTCACGTCAAGCCCGTCCGTTGAAAAACCGTTGGAGACAGTCCAGGTGCCCGTGGACGGCAAGGAGCGGGACACTAAGAAAGTAAAGAAGAAAAGAAAGAAAAAGGAAAAAGAGCCAGCAAAATCTGGAGACAAGACGACAAGACGCAAACTTGCACCTCCTCGACCACAAGGGATTGTTATCGCTAGGGCCGATGGCGGTGGTAGTTATGCAGACATAGCCAGGAAGCTTAAGGACAATATTGACCTTAATGCTCTGGGCGTCTCTATCCAGGCAGTGCGTAAAACGAAGGAGGGCCATTTGGCCATCACAGTGGGCAAAGGAGCCGATGCCAGCCAGGCTGCTCTCAAGCTCAAAGCTGCGGCGCAAGACTTACTCGGATCCGACATCGGTATTCGAGCATCGTCCAACAAACAGGTTGTGGAGATAAGAGACATCAGCGCGGAGGACGGAGCCGGTGATGTATACGCTGGCATATGTCAAGAAGGTGCCAACATCAATGAAGTTAGTGTTCAGAGGATCACCCCCTCATACGGAGGAACACAAAAGGCAATCGTTACGGTGACGGCAGAAGTTGCAAAAGTCATCTGTAAGAAGGGGAAAGTAAGAATCGGATGGGTCTTGTGCCGTGCTCGACCAGCAGAACGACGTCTGGACCGATGCTTCCACTGCCATGGCTACGGCCACAGGCAAGCGGGATGCAAAGGCCCAGACAGGTCTAAGCAGTGTATGACATGTGGGGAGGAAGGACATCTCGCAAAAGATTGCCGAGCCTCACCGCATTGTGTCCTGTGTGAAGCCAGACAAAGAAACGCTGACCACTATCCCGGCAGCGGGAAATGCGAAGCGTATCGAACAGCGAAGGCCAAGATGAAGAAGTGAGACCTGGCGGCGTCTGAGACGCGGGGTAGAAGAGGAGCAGTCACCAGCCCGGCGGCATCTGCGATGCGGGGTGAAGACTAACCCAAATAACAGAAGTCTTAACTTAGAAAATGTAATAATTGTCTAATTTAAGAGATGTATTGTAATTTCAAAACTTATTAGTAGACTAAATTTAGAAAATTGTTTGTGTAATAATTGTCTAATTTAAGAGATGTATTGTGTTTTCATACTTGTAAATATTTTGTATATATCGTATTTGATTTCACAATAAACGATGTAAGCGGCCCCAAAGTAATGCTTAATAGGCGAGTTCTGGGGCCGTTTACGATTCAAACAGGGAAAAAAAAAAAAAAAAAAAAAAAAAAAAATGGTTCCCACGAGAAGTCGGGGTATAAAGGTCGATCGCAACAGAGCCCGATGTTGCGGCAAGGCTGTATACTACATGGTGCGCCTGGTGCCATGTAGGTTCCCAATAGACATCCCACTTTACCTCCTGATGCC